CATTTACCTTGCTTTAGGATTTTTAAAAATGTTTATTTGAAGAAGAAATAAGCAAACACCCCTCCTAAGGCTCCACCCACTATCGGTAATGTGACGCCTACAGCAGCCATGGCACCTGTCAATCACATAATGTCATTATAGGCACATATACCACCGTTCTTGATGAATCCAATATTAAAATACATGTACTGTAAATTCTTCATGGTTATGATGCGAGGTTGAAAGTTTGAAAATTTCTTTAAAGCATAATTTATCGAGCATATTGACATTACTATAATACCTGGACTGTATCCCGTTTTAGCTGTCGCCTTTTGTCCCTTGTTATTTAGATACGTTGTTTCTGTGAAAGACTCTTTGATGGGTACCATGGCAGGTATCTGTAGAATAAGGAAAGTACTATAGATTGAATTTATTGCACAGCAAACTTTGACTCCTAAACACGGAGAGGGGATCAGGTACCATAGTGAAGTAAGCATCCCCTTTTGACCGGTCAAACTTGTCTTGAGTTCCTTGTCTTGACTGGGAGAACTCAGTATAAAAATAATTGTCTAACAATTTATACAAAAAATGACAAAATCAAAGGGGAGTAAAATGGGTTTTTTGCAAGTTATGAATGTGGTACCATAATGAAATAAGCATTTCCTTTTGACTTGTTACATTAGCTTTGAGCTCCTTGTCATTTTAAATACCATTAGGTATAAGTCTAGGTTAAAAATGAATGAAAAAAAAACACCAAAAATTATTTACTTCAAACTGGATACAAATACATACATTTGGGAAGGCTGTTTTGTCTAGAGCGATGGCGAACTGTGAGTTTTGGACTTTGGTCTGTAGCGTGTTGGCAGCAACACTTAGTGGTGTCTCTTTGATTACACTCTGTACGTCTCCAACAACTGGCGCCACGTCCAGGATCTCAAACGACACGATTATGTCTGTGGGGGAGTAATATACCTGTAAATAAGTGTAGTGTAATAGTTTTATTCCTAAACGACGTTTTGCAGCAGTTTCAAAACATTAATTAAAAATTTTAGTTGCAAGAACGAGAAATATCTGCCAGTTTTACAACCCTTAACAAGCAAATATTTGGCATGGCAAAAATTATTTATGTCTAATTTATATAAAATATGCAGCTCTAATCCTTAAAACTAGATTTTTAAGTGCTTTATTCAGTTACATGACTTCTATTTAACAGGGTTATCCTGATACTGAAAGGACAGACTAAGCAATATGCTTAAGCTTTGACTTAGATATCATTTAACGATAACTTAAGTTGTACTTACATTTAAGTTGGCTATCCTAATGGCTGATACACTGAGGGTGGAGACGAGACTTTTGAGGATGTTATACTTGAAGGTTTCAAGGTTCCCATCAACGGCTGACTTGTAATCTCCTATCAAATGAAATTAAGAAATTGTTGTTTTTTTAATTAAACTGTAAATCATTAAAAGGATGCTTGTTAATGATTACATTAAATAAAATTGTAATCCATTTTATCTCTTCTTTTTTAAAAAAAAAAAAAATCCACGCATCCCAAAATTTTAATTTTTATATAAAATGTGCAAATCCCCAAAATAAACAAGAAACGGGAGAAATCTCTTCTTGGGACTCAGAATATTTTCCTCAAAACAATGCATTTTGCCGTGTTGTAGCAATGTTGAAGAATACTTTACCTGAAAAAGTGAGCTGGAATTTCCTTCTGTTTCTGTTAACGTAGCACTGACTAATGTCAAACTTCAGAATGTCCGGTGTGTGTACATCAAAGTTAAAGATGTTATACTCGTTGTGATAGGCCACCTAAATATATAGGTCAAAATTATAGATGTTATACTCATTGTGATAGGTCACCTTAATATGTAGGTCAAATTTAAAGATGTTATACTCATTGTGATAGGCCACTTAAATCGATAGGTCAAAGTTAAAGATGTTATACACATTGTGATAGGCCATCTAAATATATAGATCAAAGTTAAAGATGTTATACTCATTGTGATAGGCCATCTAAATATATAGATCAAAGTTAAAGATGTTATACTCATTGTGATAGGCCATCTAACTATATAGATCAAAGTTATAGATGTTACATTGTATACTCATTGAGACAGATAGGCTATCTAAATACATGTATATAGGTCAAATTAAGTTATATATGTTATATACTCATTGTAAAAGGCCACTTGAATATATAGGTCAAAGTTAAAGATGTTATACTCATTTTGATAGGTCATATAAATATCAAGATCAAAGTTAAAGATGTTAAACTTATTATGATGGGCCACTTGAATATATAGGTTAAAGTTATAGATGTTATACACAGTGTGATAGGCCACCTTGATATCTAGTTCAAAGTTAAAGAAGTATTATCATTTTGAAAGGCCACCTTAATATCTAGATCAAAGTTAAAGATGTTATACTCGTTGAGATAGGTCACTTTAATTAATATCTTGGTCAGGCAGAGGTTACGATGATATGATCTTAAATATATTGTGATAGGCCAATAGTTATACAGGTCAGTTATAGATGTTATACTCATTGTGATTAGCCAATGCATCTTAATCCACTGTATTGGCCAAAGTTAAAGATGTGATACTCATTATCATTAGGATAGGTCACCTAAATATTTAGGTCAATTTTTTTTCGATCGAGATATAGTACATAGATCCACTCTTTTAAATGCAAGAACTTCGATAACAAATGAATTATTAACTCATAAATGATAAAGGATATTACCGGTAGTTTAATATATTGGGATTCTTTGTAAATTTTGGCACAGCCTTAAAAGATTACAAGACAAATTGTTAAATATCAACTTGTAATTTGCGTAACATAATCTTAACGTGCATTGTTTTTGTTTCAATCCACAAGCATGGATACTAAACCCACAAAAAGAGTGTTTACAGTACAATATTTTAAATAAGACTAGATAGCTCAGGACTTTTATTTATACATGTATATTACACAGATCTGCCTACCCTTCCGCTTATGGCGTAATTCCTCCGCTTTTTACCACAAAATTACGCTATAACGCCACTTATATTAATTTTACGCTTTTGATATTTTGGTTAAAATTTCATTATGAACGTCTAAATTCAGAGTTAAAGTACGACATGCTGAAATGAAATACCTGGTAATAAGTTCTTATGAAAGTAATTCTAAGACCACTTCGATAATGTACGTAGTATACTTAGTAGTTACATGTAAACTGGTATAATGAAGATTCGGAAGAAGACGAGAAGGCACTACTTACGTTAAATATTAAACGATACTGCAAAACATGAAACCATTTCTATGCTTAATTAAGTGTATTTTAACATTTCTTGGAACAAGATAAAGAAATATAAGTGTTAAAAGAGATAAAAAAAAAATCAATGTTAAAATGGACGATTTGTTATAATATTCAAATGCAAGCCTTCGATTAAATGTTTTGATAGAAATTGACCAAATGCTTCATAAAGGGTGTACGGTTGAATTGAGTTTGATATAGTATACTTGTATTTCACAACACTTTTTTTACTAATAGATGATTCGATAAATTATGAAAAGTTTATGCCAGCTTTGTTAAGTATTGTACAATTTCGGTTGTTTTGAAAGAAAATGAAGAATAATAGTTAAAAAAAAAAAAAAAAGGAAAACATGATTGATTACGCTTTTACCTCTGAAATTCCACCAAAAATGTACCGAAATTACACCCTTGCAATGAAAAGGGTAGGCAGGTCTGTATTACATCAGTATACAATGTACGTGTCTTACCGAGGGGGCGTCGATAACCAGTTGTACCGGAGTACCGCCCTGTGCAGCCCCTGTATTAACCTCGGCCCACTGGTTCTGTTTGAAAGTAAGACAGTAATATACAGGCTTTTTTTAACATGAATAAAAAACAAGAAATATAATTCTTTTAAGCCATTGATTTTGTATGAAATCAGCCAGCAATATTCAGAATAAGGTTTCTATTCCAAAAAAATACGACTAGTTTCTTTAATGCCTATCATCAAATAAGGTTTTTAATTAAGAAATTTAAAAAGAATCTCAGTACTTTCAGGCCATTGATTTTGCCTTCATACAATGAATTAATATACATACAGAAGCGAAGTACCACTGCCACGTAGAGTTGACCCCGGGGGACGGCCAGTTTGCCCTCACCCCGACCCAGCTGTCACAATCAATGTTACGGACCGTTTTCTGTGAGTAAAAGATATACCTTTAACATGTTTACAGGTTCTTAATCCATTTGAGAGATGCACACTTAGTATGTAAAGTTTAATTGATGGAAAAAACTTAATATTTATCATATGAAAGTAATTTAATTCATTGATAATATTAATCCATTTTCACTTAAAAAACATACAATTACCTTTGCTATTAATTTCACCTCTTCAAATTTATTTTATATGTACAACTCATTATGACTATGCGTGGAATAAACAAGAGCAATGCAAGTTTAAAAACGAATTTATTTCACTTTTTATTTTAATGTTGACAAAATCATATGTGCATTTATTATTACGTCACGTGCACATACTGTATATTTATGCACGTCACGTGACATACGTACCACGCCCTCATACGTGTACTGGATGACATCAAAGTAGAAGAATTCCTTAGCATTCCTGATTCTGAGGTGGTTTTTGTCGACAAAGCGTGTGTCGAACGTCTGTTTTATAGGCTGAACAGTACAGTTACCGTACATCGTGTCAATGATGTAAGCCACACCTGTAAAATTACGGAAAATTTATCATTGTGCATGTTTGCTTTAAAGTGTTACAAAGCGAAATGTTGTAATTAGCTGTATGTCATTACAGTTACTGTAATATTTCTAAATATATCAAGTTAGATGTAACCAGCTGCATTGGTTTACACTGATAATTGTTAGTATAAAAAAATAACTGTAACCTATACATGTATATATTGGTTACAGCAATAATTGTCAGTGTGCTAGTTGGTTTACAGGTTAAGAGTTTTTACCTATGTTGGTTTACATGTTTACAGTATTTACCTTTGTTGGTTTATATAAAAATACAGTGTTTACCTGTGTTGGTTTACAGTATTTACCTTTGTTAGTTTACAGTATTTACCTGTGTTGCTTTACATGTCTACAGTATTTACCTGTGTTAATTTACAGTATTTACCTGTGTTAGTTTACATGTCTACAGTATTTACCTGTGTTAGTTTACACTATTTACCTGTGTTGGTTTGCATGGTTACAGTATTCACCTGTGTTAGTCTACAGTATTCACTTGTGTTGGTTTACAGTATTTACCTGTGTTAGTTTACCTGTGTTGGATTACATGGTTACAGTATTTACCTGTGTTGGTTTACATGGTTACAGTATTTACCCGTGTTAAAGTCATGGATTTCTCTCAGATCGCTTACGCCATAAGGACTCATGTCTGAAGGAAGTGGACGGGAAAAGTACATCACCATCTTCTCAGTAAAAGAATAGTACTCCTGTAAAATACAGAGGCGGATCAAGGATTTATCATTGAACGGTTTTAGATGGATAAAAATAGCGAAATCAGATCAATTATAGTCAAATTCAGACGTCAGTTGCGTATGTTATCAAACATGAAAAAAAAAATAATTCTGCTTAATGAATAAACCAAAACACTGTTGGACAAAAAATATGATCTTATAAAAAGAAATCATAGAACCTTCATAAAAGACACAATTTTCCTAGTCTTGTCGACGTATTCCGACATAAAACTGAAGGCTGGAGGCATTGTGGGTAGGGCCTTAGTATTCTTACGTCCTGGGCATTGAACCCCGGCGGGAGTCTGAAAAAATTAAGTAAGAATTATAAACATCTAAATTTTCCTTTTTTGCATTATGTAAATCTTTTTTTTCTGTGAGAACTTTTTTTTTGCGTAATTACGCGAGAAATTAGCTCGCCAAAATTTCATTCTCGCGTATAAAAATATTCCTTAAGATTATCTCGATTATATAGAGGAAAAACAACAATTTGCAAAATTTATTTATCGCTGATTAAGAGGCAATGACAACTAGTATCTCGCAAAAATTCTCAGTAAGGTATGAAAATTTTGTGATCTGTAGTATGTGCGGTATCTTCCACGTCGAGTGTTTTTTTTTTCGATTGACATAAGATAGTGATTTGAAACTTAGTGTACCTCGAAAATTTTAGGATCTGACACAGTCTGTCGGTAATGGAACATTTCATACCAGTGGTCAAACTTTCTACCGGTTGTGGCGCCCGGGTCGTAGATAACGCCCGTGACACGTGCTGCTATAGGGACGGTCACGCCCACCGCCGTGTCCCATTCTGGATTGGCCGCTAAAAATAGACGTGTACATAACATATAAACCTATACACAGTGAATGCATTAACTACATATCGAACACGCACTAAAGCTCAAAAGACCACGAAACATTACGAAATTGGAGAAGAGCAAACAAGGGCCTCCAAAACATCAGAGGTGGGATTAGGTGCCATGGATGGGTAAGCATCCCTTGCCAACCAGTTTTGATTAATTTTGTTTTATAATTGAATGTATATTAAGGTTCATAAACCCTCCGCTCACTCATATAAAATGATGCTTGAATCTTGATGATTTTCCAAAAGAAATGTATTTTATAAGTAAAAAACAAACAATTATAACATAGCATGCGGGGCAAAATTGGACAAAAAAGACACTTCAACTGGAAAAATCTATGAAGGAATAATAGACATTAATGTCAGTAAGAGTTGTCTCTCTTATCAGAGTATCAATGAACCTTAAAACTGGCCTCACATAACAGAAAACACAGACATTCAAAACATCAGAGATGGGATTAGGTGTCATAGAGGAGTTAGCATCCCCTGCTGACCAGGTTTGATTGATTTCGTTATATAGTTGAATATATATACGCTATAACTGGCCACACGTACCAGAAAAGTACCAGAACACCTTCATGGTGGCGTCCATGTTCTGCCAGTATTGACAGCTCTGCCACACGTCCACCGCTATCCCCCTTACACTGCTCAGCCCCATGTAGATCTCGTTAATCCCCTGACCCGACATGTGGAGGGACTGGGCCGCCGAGAAGATCTTCCCGCCATTACTCGTGGTGTAACCCAGAAGGAAGCGCTGGTTAGATGTACTGAGTTGTTGTACCACACAACCTATTGTGTGTATCAAGTAATGATTATTAATATTAGCATTTTGAAGAAACATATTTGAATTTTTTTAAGATTGTCACAGAAAAAAAAGAGTATATATATCATCTGATATTTAATTTTGTAGAATAGCAGTTGAAAGTTTAAGTTAGTACGTAATCGAAAACGGCTTTTGCTTCAAATGACTGAATATCAAAAGCTTTAATTATGGTTAGAAGCCTTCATATGTGCACCTTATGACTTATATACACATGTTACTGGTTTTCCTCAATATCTTTCAAGTTGGATGAATAAGATAGTTAAAATTAAACTTTATACAAGAATCCAAGTTATATAGGGTTATAATCTTTTAATCGAGAACAGACATTCTTGCTATGAAAATAGTTACTTTGAGTTTCATTACTTTTACAAAGATTTTTTTAATAATTAAGGGGGCAACACCTTTCCCATTTCCGCCATTGGGTATATACACTTTCACTATTGATGACGTCATAATAGCACTCACCGCCTCCTGGTACGTACGCGATGAACTCGTTAGTGGTGTAGCTGTACCAGGCGTCCAGTTCTACCCCTGAGGCCAGCTGCCGGACCCTCCCCGCGTTCTGACTGTCGTCAAACCACTCGTGGATGTCCGTCGTCTCATTTTTGTTCATTATATTACACTGAATGTGCGCCGAGAAGGTGTTTGTAACATTAGGGCGAGGTCTATTGGCAACTTTCAAAAAGAAAGAAATTTTCTACACATCTTAAACTTAAAGTGAAACTGTTATGTTACAGTGGTTAACATGGTAGAAAAAGTTATTTACTATGTATAGTGGTTTACATGGTGGTTTGTAAATGTTACAGGGGTTAAAATGGTAGATGATAACTTTCACAGTAATTAAAGTTGCAATTGGAACTACTCGAGTGGTTTGCTTTTACAACGGTTAACATGTTTATATTTCAGTTAATATAAGATTTTTAGTGGTTCAGAAGATAGATGAATAATGTTAAAGTGATTAAGATGGTGGATGTTCCAGTGGTTCAGATGATAAATGTTACAGTGGTTTATATGTTGGCTGATTAATGTTACAGTGGTTAAGATGGTGGATGATTAATGTTAGTTATATTGGTTAAGATGGCCTTTGATTAATGTTACAGTGGTTAAGATGGAGGATGATTAATGTTACAGTGGTTAGGATAGAGGATGATTAATGTTACAGTGGTTAAGATAGAGGATGATTAATGTTACAGTGGTTAAGATAGAGGATGATTAATGTTACAGTGGTTAAGATAGAGGATGATTAATGTTACAGTGGTTACGATGGTGGATGATTAATGTTACAGTGGTTAAGATAGAGGATGGTTAATGTTACAGTGGTTAAGATTGGAGGATTGTTAATGTTACAGTTGTTTAGATGGTGGATAATTAATGTTAGTTACAGTGGTTTAGATGGCCTTTGATTAATGTTACAAGGTAAAGATAGAGGATGATTAATGTTACAGTGGTTAAGATTGGAGGATGATTAATGTCACAGTGGTTAAAATTGGAGGATAGTTAATGTCACAGTAGTTAAGATGGTGTATGATTGTTGTTACAGTGGTTAAGATGGTAAATGTTACAGTGGTAAAGATTGTGGATGATTAATGTTACAGTGGTAAAGGTTGAGGATTATCAATGTTACAGTGATGAAGATGGAGGAAGGTTAATGTTACAATGCTTAAGATTGTATGGTGATTAATGTTACGGTGGTACATTGAGATGGAGGATTATTAATGTTACAGTGGTTAAGATGGTGGATGATTAATGATACAGTGGTTAAGGTTGGAGGATTATTAATGTTACGCTGGTTAAAATGGAGGATGATTAATGTTACAGTAGTAACGATTAAAGGATGATTAATGTTACAGTTGTTTAGATGGAGGAAGGTTAATGTTACTATGGTAAAGATCGGAAAATGATTATTGTTACAGTGGTAAAGATCGGAAAATGATTAATGTTACAGTGGTTAAGATGGTGTATGATTAATGTTACAGTTTTTTAAGATGGATGATTAATGTAACAGTGGTTAAGATGGTAAATATTACAATGGTAAAGACGGTGAATGGTTCATATTACAGTGGTTAAGGTCGAGGATTATTAATGTTACAATGGTTAAGATTGTGGATAATTATTGTTACAATGGTTAAGATTGTGGATGATTAATGTTACAGTGGTTAAGATGCTGATTAATGTTACAGTGGTAAAGATTGCGGTTGATCAATGTTACAATGGTTAAGATGAAGAATGATTAATGTTACAGTGGTAACGATGGTGGATAATTAATGTTACAGTGGTTTAGATGGAGAATGATTAATGTTATATTGTTAGGATTGGAGGGTAATTATTGTTACATTGGTTAAGATGGAGGATGATTAATGTTACAGTGGTTAAGATGGTGGATGATTAATGTTACAATGGTTAAGATGGTGGATGATTAATGTTACAGTGGTTAACATAGAGGATGATTAATGTTACATTGGTTAAGATAGAGGATGATCAATGTTACATTGGTTAAGATGGAGGATGATTAATGTTACATTGGTTAAGATGGAGGATGATTAATGTTACAGTGGTTAAGATGGAGGGTGATTTATGTTACAGTAGTTAAGATGGTGGATGATTAATGTTACAATGGTAAAGATGGAGGATGGTGAATGTTACAATGGTTAAGATGGAGGGTGATTTATGTTACAATGGTTAAGATGGAGGGTGATTTATGTTACAATGGTTAAGATTGTGGATGATTAATGTTACAATGGATAAGATGGTGGATTAATGTTATAGTGGTTTTTTAATCGTTGATGTTTGATGATTTAGTGGTAAAATGGTAGAAATAATTAAGCTGCTATGATTTTAAAACTGTTCAGCTGCTATAATTAATGCTTATCATATCATACAATTGCATTACCAACAGTATAAAACAAATAACAAAAAAGAATATGAGTATAAGAACCATAAAAGAAGATGATCAATGCCTTTAGGATATATGGCAACACATATTTTTTGCGTTTTTTGAATAATTACTGTAGTATCCTTTACCTGTAGATATGGGATCCCCGCTACATACTGAGTTATCCTTTCCGTGGACAGACAAAACTGTTGTTATGGATACCAAATGTATAAATATTCGAAACATATTTAATTAATCTGGAAAAAAGTTAATGAGAAAATATTGTGTCGTTAGACTGATTGTACTTTACTGATAATTGCAAAACAATAATATTTATAAGTTATTGATGCTGTTCAAAATACATTTTTTGAATTAAACTTTGTGTGTATCGACTTCTTATTTTTTCTTATTCTGACTGCTGTTAACCAATTCTACTTATTCATATACTAGTAAATGCATTCGTACGTAATTATACGAACACATATACTGAGTAATGTATCAATTGAATTGATAGAGTATAAGGCTATGGTAATTCATTTATCTCTTACACGCAATACTACAGCTTGAGCTTTTTAAGTTCCAGTGTTAGTAATTATTTCAAGTACTGAGTATGTATTTTTATATTTATTTTTCATTGTTTATTGAACTCTTACCTTATATAATAAATTAGTAATGTCCGCCCCTCCTAGGACACCTATAATGAGATATCGCGAGAGTCCAACACACTGTACCCTGGGATGATAGGGACTGATAGCAAAGATAACGAAGTGCGGATCTAAAAGATAGTACTGGCGGTCTAGTTTTTTTTTATCAGAAGGAAATATTATATGAACCTGATTGTTTATATAACGATCACATAGATAAAATAAAACAATAGAAGCATTCAGAGAGAGAGAGAGAGAGAGAGAGAGAGAGAGAGAGAGAGAGAGAGAGAGAGAGAGAGAGAGACTTGTATGACTGAGCCATCTACAGTGTATAACATAATGTTTGTTTGTTATACCCCCAACAAACGAAGAATCACCTTGTCCGTCTGTCCGTCTGTCTGTCTGTCTGTCTGTCCGTCTGTCTGTGTAAACGTGTCCGGTCCATATCTTTCTTATGGAACCCAAGGGTGTGTCATAACCTTGACCCAAGGTCATTTGGGGAAGTTCAAGGTCACTGGAAGAAAAAGTTCATAATTCGTGTCCGGTCCATATCTTTCTTATGGATAATCTTGGTAGGTTCTCATTTCACTCAAAGATTGCGCATGATCCAAGGGTGTGTCATGACCTTGACCCAAGGTCATTCGGGGAAGTTCAAGGTCACTGGAAGAAAAAGTTCATAATTCGTGTCTGGTCCATATCTTTCTTATGGATAAACTTGGTAGGTTCTCATTTCACGCAAAGATTGCCCATGACCCAAGGGTGTGTCTTGACCTTGACCCAAGGTCATTCGGGGAAGTTCAAGGTCAATGGAAGAAAAAGTTCATGATTCGTGTCCGGTCCACATCTTTCTTATGGATAATCTTGGTAGGTTCTCATTTCACGCAAAGATTGCCCATGACCCAAGGGTGTGTCATGACCTTGACCCAAGGTCATTTGGGGAATTTCAAGGTCACTGGAAGAAAAAGTTCATAATTCTTTCCGGTCCATATCTTTTTTATGGATAAACTTGGTAGGTTCTCATTTCACACAAAGATTGCCCATGACCCAAGGGTATGTCATGGCCTTGACCCAAGGTCATTTGGGGAATTTCAAGGTCACTGGAAGAAAAATTTCATAATTCATGTGTGATACATATCTTTATTATGGTAAAACTTGCTTCTGAAAAAACCCAGCGGGGGTATTTTGTCCCGTTTGGACAGTTCTAGTTCTCTACTGACTCAGGGTAGAATTTTTTGGGTCGGTCGGTAGGTGGAATCTTTTCCTCAGAATATTTTAACATATTTGTTGACGGGATAAGAGGAATTAAAAGGGAAAAATCGTGTCCAGGAATGTAATTTTTTTTTTGATTCGGCCCACTTTTAGTCGGTCGGTCGGGAGAGGGCAACCAATTTCTTTTTAAAGATGGCTCTGTGATCTACTTATGTTAGATTCAAAAAATTTATTTTCTTTTTCATCCCCCGGTTGAGATCCAAATCTGTTTTAAGAAACTGGGCTAAACAATGTTTTGGGGCTCTCTCCTTCAGAGATTCGATCTTGAGAGTTTCTGTCGCCTTTCGTAAGCCTCACAACCATCCCGTACTGCTCTCATACCCAAACTAGTATTTTCTGTCCCCTGCTTTCGCGAGATCGAGGGGACATTAACTCTTTACAACTTATTGAACTGTTATGCAACAAACACTTAATGTTAACGTCATAGAAGTAGACATTTACCATTTCCCGCAAGCACCTTTTAGCGTGGTACACGTTTCTCTAAAGTTTAGCGTAAATAATATTATGACGTTATCTTTTAATACAGAAATAACTTTTTTATTTTATAAGATACTTGCAAGTATGAAATAGAAGGAAATTGGCATTAAATCAAAGATTAAATGAACTTTTTTAAGTGCGTGAAAATGCGTGATTGCGGGGAAACGGTATATGCGTGATTTTGCGTTAGAAATAGGAAATGTTATATGCGTTAAAATGCGTGACTGCGGGGAAGAGGGTTATCAACAAAAAAAAATGATATAGTATTTAGAAAGGTCTTGACCAAGGTTAAACACATGTTTATATGAAAGCTATATCTGTTCTCATTGAAAGATATGACCAATTCAATGTATTGTTTAAATTCTTTAAAAGTAGGTCAAACTTCATGGGATCGAAATCCGTAGTGTATTTAATTGGAAAGGTCTTGTCACAGATAATATACTTGTGTAATATGAAAACCTATCTCTTCTCATTCAAAGGATATGACCAAAGTTTTAAGTTTTTGTGATGGACAGACAGACTGACAAATGAATGAAATTTAACGTCCCCTTGCTATCAGAAAGCAGGGGAAAAAAAGAAAAGGCTTTTAGTGATAAAAAATCAGAAGCAGAATGTTTAAGTGTAGATTAATTAGCAGAAAATTCTTAAGGTTCACTGACCCTCTGATAAGGGAGATAATTCTGATTAGAATAAATTTTCATTTCTTAAAAAAAAAAAAAAAACAACTCAATTTTAACGGCCATTTTCCACAGCAATGTATGCAGAAATTTTGTAATTGAACAGAAGGTTGATAACCCTTATAATCTATGAGCCTGCAATTTATCTAAGATGTATAAAGAAAGCAAAATGAATCTATTGATAAAATACATTCATTTATTGTAGTCAGAACTGCAATATCACTAGCAATAAGAAAGACTTGAACTTCTGACATATATAAACATGATAACTGTAACTTTGTAATTACTGTAACAAGAAAAATATACAATGCAACTATTCACATATATTATCACGTAATCTATACATGTATAGTAGGCACCTAATTAAGCAAGCTACAGGTCATCTCAAATGACACTTCCACAAGACACCTACAGATTCCTCTAAAAGTTTTGCTACTGTATAATAAATTAACATTTAAATATTTGTTTTGAAACAATACATCTTCAAAAATTATGAAATTTCAACATGCTTAAAAATTAAGAATATAAAAAAAAAAACCAGTTATTTGAAATATTTCATATACCAAAATATATATGCCTACCAAAAAAAAATACACATAATGTAATATGATTTTTTTCATTGGATAATATAACTTTCTTAATATATCTGAGAGGAATTGCATAAAATATTTAAAAAAATTTTTTTTATTATAATATGTTTCAAAATCTGGAACACCCCTTGCAGGTAAATATTTTTAAAGAATCATTCTTACTTCACTAAGAACATACTTTTGGCATTTTGGGTACATACATGAAATTATCATGAAATTGACAAAAATGACATAGTTACACAGAAGTTTGAAAGCGAAAAAAAAAAAAAAAAAACCAACTAGATTTCAAAAATATAAAGTCAGTCACATAAAATTTCATTAAGTTTTGCAGGGTGAGAAAATACAAATAAATTTTATCAGTATGCAAATAAAAAATTCTTTTAACAAGATGAAATACGAGTTTGGCAAGAACCAATCACTTTGCTTCTGATACAGTAACATTCTTAGTGTATCAAACGAGGGAAACATTGAATGAAAAAATAAATATGGCTTTTCAAACATTAAAACTTAATGATTGAACAATTTCAGGAAAATCTCCAGTAGCATTCTTTGGTTTCATCAACAATGAATTTGAAAGGGAGGTTAAGTAGGGAAGCAGATAACGAATATTGTGATAAGATTTTGTTGGTGAAAAACATTAATTAGAATTTATTTTATTCAACCTTGGAATACTGAGAAATCAGAATTGATTTATTAATCGTTTTCTGGTATATTATGGTTGAAACTAAGCGAGTAGTCAATCAATGACTAAATTAATCATGTTACATCCCCCGGCAAATAATTAAACAACAACTAACAATTTAAGAGAGCAAGTTCAAAGATTCTTAAGGTAAATGTAATTGTGTCTGGGTAAATCTACAACTGGGCAAAATTCATTACAAAAGGGAAGGCGAAAAATAACTTGGGGTCAAAATATCTCCACATACCGGTACAGTATCAAATTGGATTTCAGGTTTACTAAACATATTTTCCTACCATCAACAATGTTTGGTAATATTTCCCTAATTTCAACAACACTGTTTGGTCTCTTTAGCAAAGATATTATTTTATATGTGCAACAATTTGTAAGATAACTTAATAAGTGTACACTGTATACCATCTTACTAAGGAACAGAAGTTTATAACATTATAAATGCAAAGAATTGTGCATCCTATAACACTTGATCTCCTTAGCCAATCAAAATCATTGATACAAGTGTACAGGATACATCAACCAATGAAAACTCTCAATTAATTCAAATCATCAATTAAAGGGAAATGGCAATATGTATGAAGAAATCATTGTGTACGTATCTATGTGTAAGCCCATTAATAAAAATAAGACATTTGTCCCTGACTAGATGATAAATTTATACAATAGAAGAATATAAACAAGAATGTTGAAACTTATGTATCATTACAAAAATGAAATAGACCTGTGTGTAAACTAGCTTTTACCTTTGATTTCTCAACATGATTTAAAAGCTTTCAGGAACTTTATTGTCTTAAAGCTCATCTGGGCTAAAACAGTGTAAACAGAAAGAACAAATCTCCCCTCCCCCATCTTTAAACTTTTATGATACTGTTATGTTTCTGATACCTTCAAAATTAAAATCTATTCTATGATATGATGAGTATCTTTCAAGGTTACAAAATCTCAATCAATAATCTATTTTCTTATTTTTTCTGATGACTGCATACCTTTATATTAACCTACATTTTTAAAAGCACTTCTGAACAATGCATTTGACAGCAGATTATTTAGGAAGCACATATATTAATAACAATATGGATATTATCATTGAGCAATTGCCCCTTGTGGAAAATATTATAACATTATCAGTCATGAATATACATGGAGATACTGTGATTTTTACAGTCAAAAATTCATTCCTTAGAATAATGTTCATTAAACAAACTATGTTGAAATGCTAAACGCTTGTCCACATAATATATAAATATGTAAACTGCGTAACTTGTAATAAATAGTCCAGTATATAAATTTAGTTACCTAAATCATGGAAGACTAGATTTTGTAATAAAATCCAATTAAAAAAGTTTCCAAATTTTAACTTTGAATTATGGCAATATTTTTAAAAGATGTACATGTAAATACAATGAGACAATATTTTAAAATAATCTATTATAGACCAAAATTTGGTTTTTTAACATGTTTAATGTTTTAGTTAAATATATTCAATCATTTATTAGTTCAACACAAATACATTTTAAAGTTTGATCAAACAGACCTTTCTAAAATCAAAAGGGTAATATTTTTGTGTGTTGCTGCAATATTCATTTTTGTAGAAATCTAGCTTCATGAATTGATACATGAACCTTCTTAAATCCTGTTAATTTCAGCTATATTTCAATATTCATTCTTTAAGTTAATTATTAATGATTTTTTAATATATCCTCTGAATTATTCCAAGTGTCTTTGCCAGAAGTTCAGCTATCAAATGTAGCGATGACAAAGAATTTATAGGGCCAGAAGTGAAATCTTGAAAAATATCCTTTAAGTTAATTGTGAGAAGAGCTTCAGATCTTTACAAAGTTTATAATTACATGTATACGTGACAAAAACTAAGAAAAGCACCTTGCATGGAATCTTCAAAATGACATAACATTACAAAACATTACATTACAAAAAGTTATTACAATGTAAATATAATAGAAAAAAATGTAACACCAGTTCATTCTAACTGACAACAATATATTAGTAATTCTATCTCCATACATCCTGATTCAGACATTAGAATCAACTGACAATATGTATACCAATAAAAGAAAAATTTTGGCAATGTAAGTCAAACAGCTCACAGTCTGAAGACAGGAGGGATAATCCAATGATCAGCATGTTTACACAAACACAAAGGAAATAAAGTAAACCCAATGCTAACCAATGGCAGCCATCCTTACAAAAAAATTCACTATTTTCATCCAATAGAAAACTTTCTTGCAACACATTTCCACTCAATGAAAACCATGCTCTCTGTTTGAATTAGTCAGTTTTCTTTGCACCATATTGCTGGATCATGCATTGCAGCACTTCCTCTGGCCTTACATAACCACATTCTTTGTTTATAGGATGAGATCACAGATGAATGTTTTATATACAGGATAATGAGAAGCCTGACTGATGAACATCTGAAAATATGAACAAGAACAAAATATTATAAATACAAGGAGATGCTTACCCTCAAATAACACAAAAATTACACCATTGATTTCCATTCCTTCCACCTACCTATGTGTTTCTCCTGGCGGGGAGGTCTATAACATTTAGATGTCCTGTAACAGGCGATACGTGATCGTATCCACCCTTGGAACTCATCTGGTTTTGCATGGAAGCGAGCTGTAATAAAATCAAAATATTCTTTAATACTGTTTGATTCTTTGAAATTCATAAAATTCATGAAAATCTTTTGACACTTTGCACACTACACCCAGTAAGCTTGATCATTTTAAAAAATCATTCAAAATTGAAAAAAAGTAAAATGTGCTGATTTTATGAAATACAAAGCATTACATGCATAAAATTAATATTTTAAGGGTTTTTTTTTGTTAAAGAAAACTTAAAGAATTTAATAATGTATCAAAATGATGCTATAGATCTTCCGGATGATCATACTTCACTCCCTTTCTCTCTTCTTAGCAGATCTCTCTCTCTCTCTCTTTAGCCCCTCCCCCCCCCCGCCCCCTCTCTTCACATTTACACAGACCCCCTCCCCCTTACACTTGTGTAGAGGCCACCTCCCCTGACCCTATTGTGTCCCATATGTCTAAAGTCTGAAGGATTTCCTATCATCTTTCTCTCTGTCTCCACATCTCCAAACTTATACAGACATCTCTGTCTTTGTCTCTCTTTGGGCAACCTTGGTATGATCACAGGTTGCCCGAATCAATTCTCTCTCTCTCAAAACTCTCTCAATTGTTAAAAATTTGTTACAATAATTAACAGAAACAAAAATATTTAACACTGATACACAGACATACAGAATGCTGTTTGTAGTTTAAAACATTCTTTTCACTTACCATGAAGCCTGTGTGCATAAATGGGTTTCAAATAACCGTGGCACTGAGTTAACCAGGTGTGATATTACAGTGGAAACCTAACTTGGCTGTACTCTAGCAGCAGAAAACGATCATCAAAATTGCAATAGTTCTAAGGGGGAATGCAAAAAGTGATGATTTTACTCTTTATATTTAAGGTGATTGTTGACTAAGTTGACATTTTTTAGAGATAAAACTTTAATAAAGACTTTTGGTAAAAATTGCATCATGAAATGTGCAACACATTTTGGCAATGAAATTAAATGATGCAAATAAACATGTTGAAAGGGTTGGTTTTGTTACAGGAAAATATGTTTTCAAAGCCTTATGAAGTTTGTTTTGAAATATTAAAGATCATTTTTAAATATTTCCAACTCGTCCCAAGTCGTCATTTGGGCGAGCCAGACTAAAAATCAGGTTGCCCAAAATCATTTCTGGGTGGAAATGACGAGGTGACGAGCGCGAATGTCGAACCCTGAGACATTCTGTTTGGAGGCCACCTCCCCTGATCCTACGTGCCCTGTGTGTCTGAAGTCTGTTTATTTTCCTATCATTTCTCTCTCTCTCTTTCCTCTTCTACTTACACAGACATTCTGTTTGGAGGCCACCTCCCCTGACCCTATGTAACCTGTGTGTCTGAAGTCTGGCCAACGTTTCTCTCTCTCTCTTCAAATGGAAACTCTTCACACTTACACAGACATTCTGTTTGGTGGCCACCTCCCCTGACCCTATGTGCCCTGTGTGCCTGAAGTCTGTTGGATTTCCTATCATCGTGGCATCAATCCTTCGCCGCCTCTTCTTGGAAAGAAAACAATCAAAATTGCAATATTTCTGAGACAAAAAAAGTAAATTTTGTGAAATTGAGGAAAAAATCAAGAGAGAAGAGAAGAAAGGTGGATAATATTAAAAAAATCATGAAATTAGCATATAATTAATCACATTAAATGATAAAATAAACATAAATAATTTTGGATCCACCACCCATTTTTATTTTAATAATCCTCACCGTGGGTTGAGGTTGCTCTGCTATACAGCAAGTCATCAAAGAAAACAGTCCATCCCCCATAATGCACCACTAGGAGTCTAAAGACTAGGGCCGATATGTCAACAGCTACTCTGTGTGTAGATTCTTTCCTTTTCTGTTGATGATGACACAGGGACGTTTGGATCTTAGTTCTTAGTGGACCCGTGTTTAACAAAATTTTCAAATGGAAATGTGAACAGCATTATGGGAATGTTACCATGGTGATGGAATCTCTCAGAGGTTAAAGTTTAGCTTCCATTGTGTTCTGAATGGACCTGTAAAAAAAAGGATAAATAATCAATAAAATTATACACACGGCATTCAATTTTTGTATACTTTTTTCCACATAAACTTCATTATTGGTATTCTATGTAATTTGTAAACCCTAATATAAAGACAATAATGCTGAATTTTTAATTTTTTCTAAATTGAAAAATCACTTTTGAATTCCATTTGTTTATAAAAAATTCCTCAATGTATAATATTTTTATTTCTACATTGAAAGTTGAATATCAGCCAATCCTGTTTCACATTAAGAAGCAGAACATTAAAATTAGAAACACTTCAAATGTCAAAGTCCAATCTACATTGTATCTCTCAATTCATTGACAAAACAAATATTAAAAAAATCTTTGTTAAAAGATTCTATTAATTATTACACAGATGCTAAATTCCTAGGCATCTGTTGTCCGACTTAAAATGTGTAGGTTGAAAAAAATATCAATCATTGCTTTAGCATGCAAGTCCTACGTGACATTTACAAATATGCATAGAAAATAATGCATGTAAATTCAGACAGCTAACATGTATATCTGTATATATAAGCCAACCAGGAAAATATATGAATTCAAAACTGATAAACATGTAGGAAATTATATGTCAGTCCTGGTGATTAATCTTCATGTCTATGAAAATTTCAAATTAATAGTAATACCATTAGGTTACCATGATTACAGAAAACCAATGATTCAAATTTAATTATTGTTACAATTTTTCTTAGTTTTATAAACATTGATCTTCATTAGCAAATTTAAGGGTTTACAATCCCTTCCTAATCTCAGAGCAGGTTGTAAACCCTTGACTAGAGAAGATGGAGTCAAAATGCACCTGCAAATTCTTTGAAATCCTTGAAATAAAAAAAAGGCTAAAGAGCACAAATTTTTCATCGTAAAAAAACTTTGTAACAAAATCATTAGCTTTCCCTTAAAAACCTCGATCCTCCACTCTGATAAAATATTTTCTGCCATATGTTACCCAGTGGGACGGCAAGGGAATTTTTTTTTAATCAACAGTGATTTCTGATAGATAACATATTACAAAGATCACAGACTCCCTAAAAATTTCATTCATCTTATTCTAGCTAAACTGGAATTTTTTCCCTTCATAGTTTATATATCATGAACACTATACAAGTATATCTAGCTAAACTGAAATTTTTTCCCTTCATAGTTTATATATCATGAACACTATACAAGTATATATAATTCTGTTTATATCTCACTGTGAAAATAAAGGCATAGACTTGGTTATTTTTATAAATTATCTGCACTGCAATAACTGTTTATAATAAAATATGATTTTTTTTTTTTTTTACTGGCATGAAATACAATAAATTGAATATTCAAGCTAACATTGCACTCTTTTTTAAAACTTTATATCAGCCCTATTTTAATCAATAAAAGAAAATTAATTATTAATTTCAAATCAATGTCAGATATTAAAACATCTGCATCAACATGATAAAAAAAAAAAATTTGCATAAAAATATAAATATTGTGTACTTAACATTCGGGCGTGAATCCATCTGTTTAACTTGATTGCAGACTAAGTAGATACAAACCATGGTTAGCAAGGTTAGGACAGCTATATGTATGTTATGATCGAGTTTTATCTACGTCAGTAAAAATTACATATATGTTTAAATGTCAATGTATGTAAAACATGTAAAAGTACAATATTTATATGGGGTCAAAATCAAATACAAAAACAGTTTGCAACTCATCATACAATTATATTTAATGAACAGATTTCCACATGAAGAGGTTTAAATACATCACTGTACATACTAAGTATCATAATTTTTTCCATCATTTTCCTGAATCATGTAAGTCAATAGGAACCTGCTCCGATTATCTTTTCTTTAGAGGGCGCCACAGGCAAACACGGTCCTGTATCGGAACACCCTCGCGCCTTATCAGTAGTTACCGATCGAAGAAAAACGTAAACAATCTGCTGTCAAACACATGCTCGTAAAACATGCCTGAAACTTGTTGTTGTGTGCCGAATTGTAGTAATCGGGGTGGCCATATATTTCCAACAGATCCGTTAAGAAGAAAAGCATGGATACACGCAATAAAACGTGGTGAAACTCGTTTTCAAAGCTGGACTCCGTCAACTCATGCTGTTGTTTGCAGAGCACATTTTAAATCAGACGACTATTTGACTGAAACCCAGCATGGTAACAATATTTATTTATTTATTTTGAAATCTTTGATAAGCATGTGCAAAGTAATGTTAATAGATTTTATTCTGAGCAATGTTTATGCCTTATTTGCTTAGATGAAATGCACTAAAATATCGAATCCCTTGTTTACCTCTCATACGAAGTAATCTGATAACGTTACAGACACTGCCACATGCAGACTCCCCACTGACAACTTCAATTACTGGTCATTTATTACAAACGCATTATCTTTTAACAATATAAACACAAGGCATGTCTAAAAGAACACATGCTGTTGCCTGATAATTTATGCATATCTACCAGTACAAGATACTGTGTTTTGACATTGATGTCTAATTAGCACCCTGCTTAAAAACAAATTTGACCTGTTTAGTTGAATTAATAAACACATGGGCATGTTTTGTAACATCAATTTTATAACAATAATACTTGTAATAATAAAAATATTTTAGTAAATTTATATTTGTTTTATTTGCTTTAAAAAGTTAGTTCAAATTATAAATTAATTATTTAATAAATAATCTAGTACTATGAACAAGTATTGATATATTAAATAATTTAATTCTTAGGAACTACTCCTTTAAGTAAAAGATTGAAGAAAACTGCAGTGCCAAGCATTTTTCCCTGGGTAGAGCCAAGTCCACATTCACATGAACGAGCCGACAGAGCCAAGTCCAGAGGCATCATAGCAGAAGAATTTTCTGCTTCGTCTTCCATAGATGAATTCATCTATACATCAGCTGATGATAAGTATCCGAGGAAATTGTATCTAACTCTACCCAAATTTTGGCTGAAGAAATTCAAGTCACTGTTCAGAAATCTGACGTTAAATTTTTTGATGTACAGACACAAACTCCTCGGTATCCCCCAATGAGTATTGAAAACTTTACAAATGATGTGCCGGAGTAAATTTCTATACTGGATTGGAAACTCTAACTAAATTTTATTTTGTTTTAAGAACCTTAGGACCCGCAGCTCACTGTTTGAATTATATTTATCATAAGGTTTCACATAAGTGTTCCTGACCAATTTTTCTTAGTCCTCTGCAAGTTACGGCGCCATACGACCAATTTTGAACTTTCAAGATTATTTGGAGTTTCCGAAAAGACTGTATCAAATATATTTTTTACATGGATTTTATTCATGAGTAAGCAATGGCAGGAAATCGACATTTGGCCTACAAAGTATCTTGTAAAATATTACTGTCCATCAGATTTTAAAACAAAATTTCCAAATACTAGAGTGATAATAGATGGCACAGAGTGTCCAATTAAAAGACCAAAGTTACCAAAGCCACAGCAAGCAACGTACTCTACCTATAAAAACCGTAACACGGTAAAAGTTCTTGTAGGAGCGACACCAGGTGGATTAACATCTTATATTTCTACAGCTTATGGGGGATCCACAAGTGACCGTCAAATAGTTGAAAGAAGTAGGCTGTTAGAAATGTGCAATTCTGGAGATTCAATAATGGCGGACAAAGGTTTCAATGTGCAGGATATGTTTGTACACAGGAACATTCAAATAAATACACCAACATTTTTCAAAAAGAAAAACAGAATGTCATGTGCTACTGTGATTGAGGACCGAAAAATATCCAGCAAACGTGTGCACATTGAGAGGATCATTGGACTTGCAAAAACATTCAAAATTCTGAAGCCTATAAAAGTTCTGAAACAAAACTTTCTTCAGAAATAATCTATGTTTGTTTCATGTTGTGTAATTTTAAAATTGCATAGTGCCATCTTATGCATAACTTGGTATTAAAAATGACATAATAAGATCTTTATTTCATTTTTCTTTATTGCAACTACATTTTCCATCATATGTCTTGAAAAAAGTTTTTTCCAATAGAGCAGACTTAAAAAAATCTTCATAGAATTCATTCAATTTTTTCTTCATCTCATCAATAAATTTATCATCCCTTTCTATTGCAAAGAATAAAAAGTCATTAAAAGTATACACAACAAATATACACTCATTTTTCTCTGCACAGTAAAGTTGTCCTTGGACCTGATAGTAATAGTCATGGGTTTTATTCAAATAAAATTTACTTCCAGACTGCTTGATATAAGGAACTGTTTTTGAGGAAATAAAACTGTTTCTTGCCACATATGGACACTTAACTTCAATCAAGGTGTCATCGTCAATAATACCATCTGGGGTTGCTGCTAAATGAGGGGAGTCCAGATTTGACACAAATTCCACTATTGTAAACTGTGCGTCCCGAAATTTCCTGTACTTCTTCACAGCTTCTTTTTCGTATTTTCTTCCATGAAGAATAGGTTTAGCATTAATTTTTTGTGCCTTTGTTGTTAAAAAGTCAAAGTTTCACCTTATCAGTTCGATCAGTTGCTTTACATATTCTCCCGAATACCGAAGAATGAAGACGTTTGCAACGTTCCTCAAACCAAAGGTCGTTGGCCGCTTGTGTAGCTGTTTTTATCATAACTTGACGTGCATTCTCCTCTGAAATTTCTGATACATTTAAAAGTTTCAAATGATTTTCACTAAACGTGTCTTTTAGATAGTCATGGTCCAGGTTGTAAGCTTTCATGTTTACAGGCTCATACAGCTGAAAAATTGTAATCCTGGGTAATTCAAGCACACATTTCTAAAGTAAGACTGGTATCCCGGATTGCCTCTAAATTCAACTGGACGAGGGTCATAGTCATTATTGCATACTTCGTCACAGCCTGGCATGTCCAACTGTCTTGCTTTCATAGGGCTTCCTTTATGGGGCTTAGCACGATGAAAAGTTTGTAACCTCTGTGTGCAGGTGAGTTCTGTTTCACAGACTTCATCATTGAAGCTTTTACACTACTTCTAACGAACCAATTTGAATCATGAAATGTCACCCTCACATACTGGATAAACCCATCGTTGTACATATCCCTTCCTTTCTTATCAGTTGTCTTATTAAACTTCGACAAGAAAGTGGAAATTTCTGCCTCTGTGCAACCTGGAAAGGTCTTGTCACCATGAAGGTCCTTGTAGAGTTGTGGATCTGGCGTCATCATCATAAATTCAGGTCCATAAACATCGGTCTTAGCACAATGTGCATTTCTTCTGTAGGCTTCAAGTCTGCAATAAAATAAGCATGTTTAATTCTTTTTCATGTATATTTTGAGTGAAACATAGCTGCAACAATCAGGAAATAATAATACTGCTTCATAATAAAAATGTAGAGAAGTATTCTTATTTTACTGCAAGCACCAAGCAATATGAGATCGATGTTAGAATTACCGAGGAAATTCAAGTTAAAAATCTAACACGCTAAAGTTGCAGATTATTTAAGAATTAGTTTCTTAAACGAGGTAATTCTGATATTTAATGTCAATTTGACTTAATGTAAATCTTTTACACACCATTGATAATTATTTACTGTGTTATTAATAATGTTTACTTGGATTTGCATGAAAACATCGTATGTTTATTTACCTCTCCACAAGTTCCCACTTCCTTCCTGATTTCTTTGCTCCAAACTTTTCTAACTCGTTCTTAAGTTCAGGTATAGTCATATCACCACAATTAGATGCCATAGTAAATTAAGGATTGTAACTGAAACGTGTGTGCTTTCCGATATCGTATTCGAGAATGGATGCTGATTATCCATCTTCACAGGTTTTATCACTTTTGTAATGGACCGCATTTTCCTGTGGCGCCCCCTACCGATACAAGATAAGATAACCGACTCCGGTTCCCCAATACAAATTTTATCTGTTGAGCAATCCAGACTAGATATTATAGTCATATTTAGGAAATTACAGAATTATTTTTACTCTGCTTATAAAAACTGCAATACATATTTTATCTGTTGAGCAATCGAGACTGGAAATTAGTCATATAAGACCATGCAGACTATATCAATAGAGAATTCTTACATTTAATTCTGCAGTGACATCCTTCCCAGCCTTAATCTGTACACACATGGACACCTCTGACATACAATGTACACACAATCCTCACACTTAAGACTTCCTCTATATGATTTACATTTCCTGATATAAGCTGGGATTACAACAGGACAATTTAGCCAAGTTCACAGATTTTATGAGAACGCATTTCCAGGGACACACTTAAAACTCCAGAAATAGAGATATTAATCATAACCTATAAATTGGTCTTTTACTTAATATATGTTAGCAAATACGCATATCTTGATATCATTTTTAAAACACTGTAATAGGGTGGTACATTGTACTGTGAAATAAAAGTTGAAAAGTATCAATTAAAAAATATTCATGAAACTTTTAGTAAAATATTACCTATGAAAGATAATTTTTAAACTTGTTACTTAGCCCTTGTAACCAGAAAATAGTCCAATTCTGTCATGCAGAAATGAGAAAGAACTTTAGTGCAGTATATCATATAAATATTTCAAATACAAAATTAATTTTAATCTGACTTATAGCTTATCTGTATCTACAGCATTTAGAGTTTTTGATAAGTTTGTCAGCTTGGTAAGATCATGGAATCCTGGGTAACTCCCACACCTACATGTAATGTCGCGTACCTAGCACTGTAATCACTCAGCTCTAAATGTGGAAGACAATGAACCTTATACCCACACTAAACGATTTAAAATGACTGCTACTTTATCAATAGCAAGCTGTTAAATCATAAATCTTGAACTTTATATCTATGGAGGAAGAATTATCTCATTTTAATAAAATTTTGAAGTATTGTGTAATAAAATTCCTAGCAAGTCAAGATAGTTTTGTTTTTGTCTGATAATAACCTTATGCAAAACAACAAAAAGTGTAACTTGATGTAAAAATAAAGAACATCTGCAAAATATTTCAGTGCACATGTACAATTTCTGGTGGAAAAAGTAACATTGCTTCAATATGCACACTTTTTTGATCTGGCATTTTATTAAGAAATCAAATACTGAAAGAAAGTTATTAAAATTCCAGAAAAAAACAACAAGTGGTAATGCTTGAGTAGGTCAAAGAACAAAAATTTAAAGTAACCACATCAAATGGTTATATGACTCCCTATATAAAACATTACATGTATTATTTATTGTTGTAGCAATACAGTGGAATCATCATGTTTGTGGGGCATCAATGTTCCTGGATCTTATCTCCTCCCAATCCTGGGGAGGGGGATCTAATTTCCCCCCAATCCTGGGGAGGAGGGATCTTATCTCCTCCCAATCCTGGGGAGGGATCTAATTCCCCCCCAATCCTTGGGAGGATCTAATCACCCCCCAATCTTGGGGAGGGGGATCTAATCACCCCCCCAATCTTGGGGAGGGGGATCTAATTTCCCCCCAATCCTGGGGAGGGATCTTATCTCCCCCCAATCCTGGGGAGGGATCTAATTCACCCCCGCCCCAATCTGTGGGGGGATCTAATCCACCCCTGCAAATACTTTTCAATCTGCTCAAACTTGCAATCATTAATACAATTTTTAAACAACAATTTATTACAAGGACTCTGTGTCTCTAGAACAAGGCTAAACCATAACTGTCCCCCATACTGCACAGAGAACAGATCCCTATGTCCCATTGTAGAATTACTATTGTGCAACATGTACACAATGTTCAGTACTTGCTAAGCAAAATAAGCTTGTTGCATAGAAAGTTAAAAATCTAATTACTGTGTTGTACATGCTTAAATCTATCTTCTCCCTAGAGATGTGTAAATCAGATAAATTTAAATCCATCTACAACTTCCTATTAATTATAGATCAGGGATGTTATTCCACATTTATGTAACAAGCAACTTAGCATTGTTTAAACATTGAGACTAACATTAGCATGATTTAAAAGTTAATTTCTCTCTTTAATTTCTGGAAGCCTCCAGATAATCATTATTTTGACATAACATAGATAGTACTTTTTTATAGATCATCAATCACTAAGGCACCACGTCCGTAAGACAAACCTTATTTACCATGACTAAGTCACCACCTAAATAGCACCTTTTCTTTGGGGGGTGGGGGGTTATAATTCAGATTATGCCACCATCTAAAGGATTCTTTTTTCATCATGATTTTGGACCATCTATATTGAATTGTTTTTACAGAATATTATTTACAGTTACTGATAGAATCAATTTGGTGTCCAGTCAGGCCTAGAAAAAAAATATGTTTGTTTCCGCTTTCAGGCTGAAAAAATATAGGGTAGGTAGGTAGGCAGTTTTCTTTTTTTTTTGAAAAAATTTTTTTTGCTTCTTTAATCAAAACGTGTATAGAAGTAACATTAATGACAAAAGAAATTGTTTAAACATTACTGTGACTTAACTTATAATAGAAAGGTGACCCAAACTTCTTTCTGTCTTGAAAAGCTTGCAAAGTTGGAGGCTATAATTCCCTGGTTGAAATCTTGCACATCATGGGACAAAAGCATTAAAAAAATATTTAGGGTCGGCACTATAAATTAGGGTTGTAGAACATGTACAAACATACAGCCTCATTAGTACTGTATAAGAAAGTTCCAATCACCAGCATAGTATGTAAATTTAAAGCAAGAAAAAAGATACATATGAGTAAATGTTTTTAAAATAAGGCCAAAATAAAATATACTCTTGTTTCCTGTCCCCTGACCAAAAAAAATTAGGGTCGGTAGGAAGGGAAAAAATTTTATTTTGAGAAAAAATTTTATTTTCAAAATTTAATGAATGCAGAACATATAGCATGTAATAATTGTAATAACAAGAAAATGATATGTTATTTCAAAGCAAGTTTGTTATGTTTATACAGTAAAGGTAACCTGTACACTTGTTTTATTAATTCTGTAAACATTGGTCAACTTCAGTATTTTAGCATGATTTAAAAAAATGTTAATAAAAAACTTCTCTCTTAAAATGTAAGGTTTGACTGGAATTTTTTATTTTGGCCTAATAAAGTAATAAAGATTTTATTTTGACATAACATAAGTGTAATGGTTTTGGCCTTTTATAGCTCATCAAGCATTAGTGATGCAGGGGTCCCAGGTTTGATTCCCCGTAAGCCATAATTTTCCTTATGTTACATAAGTAATATTAGGCTACCACACATAGTTTTAAAATAAACTTTTCATTGAGAAGGGTTGTGCACATGTAGGGTTATGTATTACATAATGCCACCATACTACTAAGGATTCTTTTTTCATTAAGCATATAGCTTTAATATATAGCTTTAGTAAATGTTGATAAAGCTATTTATTTTTTTCAAAATAATAAATTAAATATAGATTTTTTTAGGTGGAGGGAGTTAGAAGACATCATATGAGTGTAATGGTTTTGGCCTTAAATATTGGGGCCTGGACAGCTCAGTCCGTCGAGCACCTGACTAGTGATGCAGGGGTCCATAACTGGCCTCCTTTATAATTTCATTCAAGAAATAACTGTGTGGTCCAGCCATACATTTTCTGTTACATAAGTAATATTACTGCTACACATAGGATTTTTAAAATAAATGATAATTACATGCTGGGAGAAGGCCCCTGTTGTGCATATGAGACCCAGTAGCATAGCACACGTTACGTGTATTACATAATAACCCCAAAATCACGAAAGTACAAAATACTAAGTGATAATTGATTAAAATATTTGTAGATCCGCCCATATATTCTTACACCGACAAGAAACTCCTTTTTACGTTTCTCAGAATTTTTTTCAAGGAAAATTTTTTATCAAGGGCTATGAATGTATACAAAATAATACACAAAAACTTGAAAGATCCAATAACCACTGATAATTGGACTAACGAGATGAAATGAGTCAACCTGCCGAACACCGCTATTACCCAAAATGGCGACACAGACGATCATCACCTCTCCTCTGCTTTGAGTCTGACAGACAGACTCTATCCCAACTGCAATAAACTTCATGAATTGAAAATGGCTCACCTGAACTTTTACTGACTGGAACGGGAAATATTCTGTTATTGAGGTAGATCACGAGCGGCTAGAAAAGGAAATATTCCGATTATTACCCCGGAAATAGGCAAAAGTTGAGAGAGTTCAGACCGCTTATATCAACAAACCTAAGACTTGCACTCGGCATACAGGTGACGGAATCTGTCGAGGCTTTTAATTGGTTCCGATCTTTGACTAACCTTGTCGGAAATGCCCGAGATGTTAAATTAGATGTTTTTAAAATAAACAAAAATGATTTACATTCAGATTTGATGTTAAGGCCAACTTGTTATTACTAAAATAATTATTTAAGTCAACTTTAAATGCTTTTGCTTTACATTTATACAAAATGCTCAATTTTTAAAAGTTTGTTGTTTTAGTTGGTAAAACCCAGAGGATTTCTTTTAGAGGTGCTCCGATAGTTCAGGCCGCTTATATCACAATATAAACAGAAACAATGAGAGACACGTGTATGTGGAGACCGATTTTGTGCAACGTTTTTCTTGGTTTAACTGTATTTTTTGGCAGAGTCAACTCTGTTGATGAGAAGAATGCTTTAGAATTACAAAGAGACGTACAGCAAAATAAATATGTCCTCGTCATGTTTGGTAAGATTGATTTCAAAGTGAGGAAATGCGGTCTGTGTGAATTTTTAATAATTATTTTATCATGGACAAGGAAAAAAATATTAATGATTTTTTTTAATTTCAGAATCACTTTTATTCATTTACACGGGAGAATTTTTATAATTGAACTGTTAAATATAACTTTGTCATAATTTCTGCACATTGTATATATTATTTGTACAGCTGTGACATGATGCAGAGAGACTGAAGATTGATTTTTTACATTACAGTAAATGGAAATAAAGAAGACAGTCAGAAAGCCTTGGCTGAATTAGAACAGATACAGACACCAGACCTTTATGATCAAGGTATGAAGGCACAGATGTACCAGGTGTTCATCCTTGTTCAAGAAAAAAGTGAGAAAATATTAGACATGTATAATGAGTACATGTATAAGAAAGGACTTGTATACTGTGTGGAGATCAGACAGGTTCAATCGCCTGTAGCCAAATACCTAAGTTTGTGGTAGAGCACCTGACTGGAGATTCTTGGAACTCCCTCCATGTTTGAATCCCGGCCGATCTGGCCTGCTGCATTTTTCTCCTCTCAGTCTCCCAATACATTTGGTGCCATACCATACCCTAGAAGTGACAGGTGTAAGACCCAACATGGAAGAGCCTGGGTTTGTGAGGGCCAAAGACTTTAAAAAGAGAGGATAAGTTCTATCTCCAGAGAGCAAGTCAAAGCTCCCCATGGCAAAACCATCCAACATATTTTATAGAAAAATCATTAGATACCAGTACTTACAAGCCATCTGCTTGATTGTACCACTACCAAACTGCGTACATGACTTTTTAGAATGTTTAATGAATACTTCTTGCATGTACTTTTTCTTCACATTTAGCAACTTAGTATTTTCATTGATAAGTGGTCTACACTATTCATTATATTATTTCTGCAAAATAAGACTATCTTCATATATGGCCTATGAATATCATAATAAATTGACTTGATGTTTTTATTTTTTCACCGTTGTAATTTACGATAGCAGTGGTCAGAAAATGTTAAATTGGTTATCTGATACCATCATGATCATAGTAAAATTATTAATCCATATAGATCTATGTTTTGCATTGATTAAGCTGAGTCTATGGATATGATTATTCATGCATTGTGAATTTCAACATATTTTTAAATTAATAAATGCTAAACTTGAGTACATGTATTCGGAAGTGTGCAGAGGGTTATACTAAGATTTGGACTTATCTATTGTAAAATTCCTGGATTATTATTGTTGTATATTAGCTCTAAAAACAATATATGAATTCTAATTACTAGAGGTACTAAAGGTGACGTGTAATGACCAGACCTTGGCTGGAAGCCTTGGGGTGAAGTCTCTCCCACAGATCGTGTTCTACCGGGACAAAGTCCCCGTCCTGTACGATGGTGAGTCTCACATTCCACATAAAATATGCATGGCATTGCTTGCACACACACACACACACACAAATACTAACACTCAGAAACAAAATTAAAAAGAAATTTTAAAAGCAAAAATTTAATACTGTAAAAGTGGTTATATTGAAAGGTTGAAAGTTTGACAAATTCGGTATTCTATAAAAATAGCGAATGGAAACTACCACTATTTTACATTGCTCTTTAACAGGAATGTGAAAGTTAACAAGTGAAAACTTTGATGATTTTTTAGAAATTTGTCAATTTTGTCAATGTTTTCACATTGTCAAAGTTCCACTTAAACAGTACTAAATAGCAAAGACCCAAAACTTTGAAAAAAAATCACACACATATTTCAGGAAAATTATTCAAATCAACAACAAAGAAAGAAAAAAGATCAAGGGCTCCAAAAAGATGAGCATCCCCTTGCAAAAGAGCATTATCATTTTAAAATGGAGGCATCATTTGACATTGATCCCATTGTAAATTACATCACATCAGTATCTTACACAAGGACAAACTCATCTCTCCCCAAACATGTGTCTACATCCAATCTAAGTCCATTACAATGAAACTGGCAACCTTGGAACTTTGACAATAAGGAAAAGATCGTATTAAAACATGACTAAGCTGAAATACACATATCTGCTCAATATCATTGACACACGTTTAGTCTTCATGCGTTTTGTTATTACAGTAATTTTTTGCAACATTGGTTTTGTTTGTTTCTAATGTGAGTCCTTTTTATAGGGGACCTGACAGCACCTGCAATACAGATGTGGGTAGATCAGGCAAAGGAAGTAAATCTTCAAAGTCTAGATGACTCTTCTTTTGAACATCTAACACAGGCATCAACAGGTGCTACAACTGGGGACTGGCTGGTCATATTGTAAGTACTGAACTGACTGGTCGTATTGTAGCTGCAGAACTGTAGCATTATGGTTTTACATGATAAGAATTGACTTTTGGATTACTGAAAATTCACCTCAAGCTAGCTTATTGCCTGTAGAGATGACTATAAAGGGTTGGGAGGTGGATAAAATATACAGATTGGTTACAGATTGTGTCTAGAATGAGGGAGTGAAAAATAGCTGGATGTGCTGGAAAGTGGAGAAAGTCTCCCCAAAATTAAAGTTGTGCCAAAAATTGCACCTTTTTTGCATTACGGGTTCTGTAGTGTTATGGTCAAAGACTAATATATAAAACCATAATGCTACTGTTCTGCAGCTTCATTTTATAATCAGGGTTAAGAAGTGATTTTTTTTAAACGAACATTTTATCTTTTAAATCTTAATTAGCATAAAGGCACAGCCCTTATGACAAACGTGATGAAATATACATAGTATTTTGATTTTGCATACTGATTTTGACTTACTCTTTTAAACAGTTACAAAGACTCCTGTAAAGAATATTTACCTGCAATAGAAGGGACGGGTGTTCTGTAAGTATAGTGTGTATATACTACATGTAAATGTCTCAGTTACCGGTACATACTGCATGTCAAGTATTAATTTATTTCAATAATTTTGAAAATATATATAATATGTAATAAACAAATTACGGTAACCAGTAAGATGTAAGGAAAGTAAATAATATTTTTTGGTCTATGTGAAAAATTTTGTGTAAAAAATGAAGCATCTTATGGTATATTTTTAAGTCAAACGTGCGTTTTTCAAGATCATCATATTTTGGTCACTTATACTTTGCATCATAAAATTTCTTCATGCCAGCTTTCAGTGCCCCCATTAAATTGGTAAAGAAGCTTTGCCACTGTTCTAAGAGAGATAACTCTCTAACATCAACTTTACCAACTATCAAATTTCCTCTCATCTCTTTGGAAAATTGTCATAATGCAGAAAAAAAAATCTAGGGTGTTCCCTTTTGTTTTAGGGTCAGGCAGAAGATGAACGTGGCTCAAGTGAACATAGAGGACAGCCCTGAGACTGCCAAAAGATTTAACATCAAGAGTTGTCCTGAAACTTATTTGTAAGTAATTTTATATGTGAAGATGTAAACAAACATACAGGATCTTATTTGTGTGATTCTTCTATGTGTGAGATACTCTCTTTACATTTTTTATAATCGACTGATTGTCTAGATTGCAATAAAAATTTCTTACTAGTTGATTAGTCTGGAATTACTGATTTTTTCGAGACAATTAAATAAAGTTAATACAGCGCTTACAACCATGACTTAATTACGATAGATTTACCAAAGGTTGTAGCTTTGAGAGCTTTTCTTTTTCAAAGAAAGTATGTTATACACTTGGTATTTGGCTTCAAGTATTGCATAATATTTTTATTTATATTTAGAGATTTCTTCAAAAAGTAATTAAATAATAAAAGCTGTAGGAGTAACTTATTACCCCTAATAAATTTAATAATCATGGGCCCGTTTTAAAAAAGAACTTACTAAGACCAAAATTTAATTCTGCTTACAACTTCAAATTCTGTTTTATAATGATTTGAAAGATGTTTTAATCTTTTTTTTTTTAAAAATTAAACAAGATATTTTTATGCTAGCAATTTCAATCAGAATCCTTCATTCTACAAATTACACAATCAACTAAAGTTTTTGGTCTTAGTCCTAAGATCTTTGTTAAATGGCCTTATGGGCCCCATATTTTTAAACTCTCTTTGTAGTATCTCTTATTTCATGGTGTTTCTAATTTATTACATATCACTTTTTTCAGATTCCATCATGGTAAAATGTATTCCTACATCTCCGATAAACCAGATGTTTACAGAGTTAAGTCCCTTGTCTCCTTTGTGACTTCCTGGTATAAAAATGTAGAGGGCCGCAAAGTACCAGTTATACCCACGGCATTGTAAGTTCAGGATATTGTATGTGTACATAAATTGACATATTCAAAATTTAGTGCAATCACTCTGTATTTAGTCGTTGCATGGTTTAATCATGAACTAGCACTATACATAAGTCGGTATATTGAATTTATAAATGATTTGTGAACAGTATTTATGAATTAGCACATTCTTATCAGCACCTAAGCCACTAAAATATGGACCCCGCTTTTGTAAGTACACTCAGTATCTAATTGATGTCCTACAGGTGGTTTTAAAGGAACATGAATTATGCAAGTGTTATTTCCCTTTGGTTGCCATTATTGAGCAAATAAAACAATTATGCATGCTCATATTCCTTTACAAGTTCATCTTTTAAAAAAGATAGGTGAGCTATTTTTAAACACAGAGAGGAAGGTTCTTAATCAACTGGTTTATTTTGCTGAATTCTTTAATGTTTAACAAGGCTGGAGTCTGATAGTTATAATTACAGACCCAGTTATAATTTTTTGTGAAGTGTATTTTATAGCATTAAAATTATATTAGTGTGGAACTGCATTGTATCAATTGCTTATCGTGTCTTGCCTTTGAAAAGAAAAAAAAAAGTTTTTTTATGAGGTTGACATATGGCATTATCCAGAAAGATGGTATAATTCTCAAGCTAGATGTCTAGAATCTTGGCATTACTATGATGGCCTAAGTTTTTGTTGTGTAGTTAACTTTAAAATGTAAGCTACACAATAAATAAACAAACTTCAGAATCAAGAAAATGAAGGCCAGTGTTATTCAATTACACAACAAAACTATAATCGTACAGTCTATCTATAGTAGTTTTCACAGACAGCTAGACCATGAAGTTTTCCCAGAAAGTCCAACTGAGAAGCCGAGCATGCTTTAATAGCTGTTATTAAAACTCTAGAAAACATTGTTTTTAAAGGGACATGGACACAGTTTCAACTAAAATGTTCATTTATTTTTCTAATTTTTTAGTTTACAAAATGTTTAAATAAGGTATTCCAATGCTCATCAAATATTTGAATATCTGTTGTTTAGATACAAAACAGATTTAGAGCACCAAACTTTTGTTATGTAAACAAGGCCTGTGTCATGTTTTTGTTGAAATAAGTTAAAAATACTTAGTTATGTTCATTCAAATTAGATTTTTTCAATAATTTAAAAGAAGTTACTAATTATAAATACAAGATGACAGTCTCTAGTGATTTGCTGAATCTCATTTTGTTATCAATATGATATTTTCTCTATGTACCTGTAAACCAAATCAAGGCACGTCAGGTCTTGTGTACTGTAAATCACTTTTTATTTGCGAGAAATTTATTTTCGCGTAATTACGCGAGACAGTGTGCTCGCGAAAATTTAATTCTTGCATATAATAGTATTCCGTAGGGTAATATAGAGCAATAACCACCATTCGTGAAAATTTTGTCTCGCTGATCAAGAGTCAATGACTATCTCGCGAAAATAAGGTGTCGCAAAAATTTAGTGATCTACAGTATATTATGAAGAATTTTTTAAGTTCTGTATCTCCTTTCTTAATCAAAAAATGATGTTCAATTTTGTGCTGATCATTAGAATTGCCTTAGTTAAGAATTTTGAACATAAGCATTGGTTTTAAAAAGTTCAGTTGAAACTGTGTCCATGTCCCTTTAAGAGAATATAAATAAATACAGTATACAGTTGTATTTTCTTTAAAACCTCCATACAAAGAAAGACCAGTGCTCTGATTAGTCTAACTAAACCATGAATGGTTCTTCAAATATAATTTTCAAAAAGCAGCATCAATTTTGCATAAAAGATAATTTGACCTTACATATCTTCTTTTTTAATTTTCAGTGATAAATTAACAGAATCTATAGCAGATTATTTAAAGGTAAGTCACTGACATTTTGAACTTGTATTTTTTAGTGTATTATCCGTAATCCATCAAACAAAAGGCTTACTTAGATTGAGGTATATGAATTGACACTTGATGTAGTTTACAAAAAGTAGAAAAATGTTGATTTATCTTTGTATAAAAATTTTGCATACCCTTGGCCTCACCACAGGAAGGTGTGACCTGGTATTTCCATCATAATTGGACAATTTTTCTGCATTTTACATGTGTTTTAATTTTCTTTGGTTTCATAAGTAAAATACTTTGCACTAAAGATACTACTTGAGTATATTTATTGGAAGGTAAAACACATTAATGACAAATGCCCTTTTTTCTCTGAGTATTTCTACAGCCATCATAAACAAAATATTTAAATTACTTAAAACAATGAACTAACAGTCTGGTTTTGTAATAAAAAGGATTGTTTATCCAAAATGTCATGTCCTGTCTACAACTTGTATTTAAACATTTCAGGAAAAATTACAAAACCCACAAGGAGGCAACTTCCTGTTGATAGGTGGCGCTGTGATGGCAGTGGTGGCTTTTGTTTTGGCAGTAGTTGTGGCAACATGTTCAAGGAATGCAAAAAAGCATGACAAACAGGAATAACTCTTTTCAAGTACTTAATCTTGTTAGAGGTGTTAAATTTTCTGTTTTGTATTTATATTTTTTTTAATGCAAGAAAGAGTGAGAGATAAATGGGTTATGTCAGTAATATCTGTTTGCAAAAGACTTAAAAATTCTGTTGGGCATTCATTTTGTTATGAAAACTGCAATAGAAATAAATCTGGAAAATGGCATTTGAGAGAAAAAATTATTCAAAAGTACAATGATATCTGACCTGGTTATCAAATAAAATATTACAAGGCAGGAGTTTGTGATCTATTTGTATGACCCAATCTTTTGACTTCATAAATTTTATGGTCAATACTTTGACCCTGTCAGTAAATACAATTTAACATTGAGTCAAATGCTGACTGATGTTTTTCATACTTATTGTTAGTCTAAAGTTTATACAATGAATTGAGGAGAGATTTATCCATTATTTCCCAGTCATAACAAGGAGCACAATGCTGGTGTGACTGGTTGACAGGGGATGCTCACTCCTCCATGGCACCTGATCCCACTTCTGATGTTTTGGAGGTCCTTGTTTGCTCTGTCCTATTTTATATTGTACTATTGATTTTTGAGCTTGAATACTCTTTGGTATCTCCATATATATCATTATGTAAAAATTATCTGGCTTTATTGACTGACTTAGTTGTTGCCTTTCTGATTGAGATTTTTTCTTCCCCCATTCGCTTAATGTGGAAGGAGATATGAATTTCCACCTGTGTGGTGTTGATCTGTGTGCCAGAGGTCAAAGTTACAAATTCATGTATTGTGTTCAATGTTTTCAAAATGCTTCTTTTCATTCTTTGAAGGATTTTTCAATAAACTTTTATTTCACTCCTTATGACTTAAGGAAGTCCCCCAAAGATTTTAAGGTTGAAGGTCTCAGATAAAATTTTGATACCTGGCATAATAGAAACAAAATATTGGGTAAAAAGGAAATTATATAAAGATTGAAACTTAATTAAGTAAAGTTTTGTGAACAAATTTCATCACCAGTTAATAGATGTAATTCTTAAAAATCCCTTTTAGTAAACACTTTATTTTGAGGACATTTTCAACCAACAAAACAATTTGAAAAGTTTTAAAATAAATTATCAACAAAGTACAAGTGATCTACAATATCTGCCATTCGTGTTCTATGTACAGAAAATTATAGAAGCTAACAAGATCACCTGAAAGTAAAGATCATAACACATGTAAAAGTTTTTTTCCCATGATTCCTGTCCTCACTAAACAGGCTGCTTGATTGTACTGAAATAAATCATGAGGGCAAAAACAACAATCATTTGAACATCTGATTTTGCATGCATACAATAAAAAAAAAATTGTGCAACACTTGCATGAATTAAAAAATATTTTTGCTGTATAATCAGGTGTTTCAATCATATATTTGACATATAAAGAAATTTAGTTTGAACAAGATATTAAACATCTGCTGATCTGAGACTGATGAATGTATAATAAAAAAGATCGATTACTATGATTGATTTTTTTTTTTAGGGAAAAATGCTAGAGAAACTTCAATCAACATATGCCCTAGATATATCATTGTCCTAAATATTGTGACTTCCAGTTGTATTTCTCTGTTGTTTGTCACCTTCAAGACAAGATCAAATGCAGGGTCATTTGAAATAAATACATAACAGTTTAACATGATTACATTTAATTGACAGTACTTACACCTCCTCTGACCTTTTCTTCAGTTATTTACACATTTGTAAGGGTTTTTAGAATGTAGATGAATGGTGACTGATTATGACTTAGGAGAAATAGATAAATATTACCACTTTCTGAAAATTGCTTGTATCATGTCTCTGATAAATGTGAATTCCTATGTAATGGTTCATACCAACTTTTATATTAAACATATTCAATTTTCCTCAATTTGTTTAAATAAGTTTTTTTAATCTTAAGTTGTACTTGATTGTATATTAAACTCCTCATTGTTGCTCTCACATGATACGTCTTGCTATTTGATGACACATGTAATATTTTTTTCTATGAGGTAGCAAACACAAATGATCAAATCTCCTATTTCCCCAGAATCCGGCTACTCTACTACAATCCAAAAACAAAAGCAGCCATTTATCATGTAAAACAATCGGTAAACCTCGGATCCTTTCATTGCCTACATCAAATAAGAGTTACGAATCAGGACCGAGGTGTGCCGAGTGGGGTATTGATTGTAAATTGATTGCACAAAGTCTGAATTAACATTGTTTTTTCATCAAGACCCGTAACATCGCCGCTGACATTCCGACTTTGTAGAGAAATTATTTTCGTTTCCCCCACATCCGCCGAACCAGAAAGAGCGACAGTTCTGTATGTTAGGATCATAGTAATATCTAGTGGTCCACTTCCGGCAGGTTCCCCGGTCCTGCGCCATTCTACAGATGGATGTCTGAGAAGCTTTTGTCTGTGAATTTGATGTCTGAGCACTCTGTATATGTGAATTTGAGGTTTGAGAGTTTGATGTTTGGGAATGTGTCTTCTGAGAATTTGTGTTGGTTGAGCTTGAAGACACTTGATCTGAAAAATAAAATAAGAAATTTTACGATTTAATTAATGCTTCCCCTAATTCTGATAAGGCCCTCCCATATTAGCATCATCTTGAATGTAAAGTTTAAAATCAAAATGTTTTTGAAGAAATACCAAAAGAGTAAACTAAAAGGCTTTAAAAAGGTTCCCCTAACTCATTAATATTTTGTTAAAAGGACTAACTTACTTTGCAGACAAGCCTGCTCGCAGCGGGTTCTGGTATTGAATCGGTTGGCATTGCCATAACATCCCGAATACAAAAATGTCTTGCACTCATTGCTCGTTACATCAAAGTAATAAGCCGTCTGATATCTACGACAGTGGCCCTCTGCCTTTGGGAGGTAGCACTGACGGTTTCTTGTCTGAGAAGTTTGTTGTTGGCGGACTACAGGAGCAGCAGTGGTGGTGGTTGTCGTTGTGGTTTTGGCGGGAACGTTCATCGTTCTTCTCTGGAAACCTCCAAATGAACCTTGTCTTCTTTGAAATCGACTGAAAGTCTGTTGTCTGCTATTTACAGAAGGAAGGTTTTGAGACGCTGAGATTTGTTGGTTGTTGTTTTCCGTGTTTTGCATAGTTTGCAACCTATTAGTTTGTCTTGTTAAGGAGGATGTCCCTTCAGGTTTATGATTTTGTTCATTTCTTTCCGAAGACAACCCTCTGTTTATTAAAGCACCCTTTCCTTGATTTAAAATTCTATCCATACCCCCAAAGTCAGCCATGAAATTAAGATACCCTTGTGTAGGTGCTGGAACAGGTGTTTTTTCTACCGATGGCTCAGATTTTGAAATGGATTTGTTAATTTCATTATTGTCATGTTTAGCTGATCCTTTCGAAGAAGTTCCACGATTCCTTGGAGACGAAATGTAAAATCCTGTATCTGCTAAAGGATCTTCCTTTAGAGGTGCTTCAATTTTTTGTTGATCGATATTTCTGTTATTATGTCTTTCCCTTGTGTTTTGAACATGGTTTCTTCCGGCTTGGTTAGAACTGGACAGAGATTGATGGCGATTAACATGTTGTGTTCTGACCGAAGAATGTGTTTGAACCACTTGGTCTTTGAATTGACCGTTTTGTTGATTCATTGCTGCAGAGGAAGCAACCTTATCTTGTGATTGAGACAAAAGATGGCGATTATTTGACTCTGAAGATTTTGACACTTGATGGGATTGCTGATTTAACTTGCTATTGTGCACTCGTTTCATAGGACTAATTGCAAATCCTGAATTTGATCTGTGATTATTCCATCGATTGTGAGACATTCTGTGGAAATTTCTAATCGGGTGTTGATCGGATGTGATATCTTGTGCAGATGTTTGCCCTTCAGCTGCATTAGAAGCGGGAGATTGCTGACCATGTGAATCGAAAGAGTGTCTCTGACTCTGGATTCCTAGAACGGCTGAAGGAGGCGACTGTGTACTCTTCAGAGATACTGTAATGTGCATTGTTTTTCGAATTTGATGATGCCCATTTTGTAGAAGACGTTTTCCTGTATTCTCTCTTTGATCAACCTGATGCGAGTTAGGCAAATTGCTCAGTGGATCTTGTTGATTATTATTTTGTGATTGTAGAATAGTTTGCTTATGTCTGTCTTGGATATGATGTCCAGTGTTTCCGTTTTGATCAGATTGCATATTATTTGCTTGCTGTCGGTATTGGTTCAAATCACCAAATCGACCGAAGGCTGATTCATGGTTACTCTGAACGCTTTTGCGGTTATGAGAGGCATGTTGCACCCTTTCAATCAGCGGTGGTGTTGTTGTTGGTGCAGTTGGAACCATAGAATATGTAGCCTCCGTCTTTGCTGGTGTCAATGTCGATATTCTTTCTATTTTGGTCCCAGACATAATATCTTTTGAGTAATATGGGTCGATGCTGGACATTTTCATTGAATTCCTTTCGTCTTTGTCCATTAGGATATTCTGAGAATGTTGTACTTGACCATCTGCTATTTTTGATTTGTTGTTAGAGATCATTGCAAATGGTATTACAGGTTCTCTAGTTTCATAAAGTTGAAGTTCTGGTACGCTGTCCAGAATTGGTCCTGATATTTGATTCCCGAACTTAACATTTTCGTGAACAGGATTGAAGGAAGGGCCTCCAAGCCGTAAAGAGTTTTGTCCGACGAAAGATGCTGCTGGTGTGTCTAAATTGTTGATGGTTTTAGTTGAGTAGGTCACCTCAGTGTGTTTAGAAAATGGTTGTAAATTTTCTGATTGCTTGTGATGCATTGTTTCCGGTTGCGGTGTCTGTGTCGGAGGCATTGAGTTTCTAACTAGCATGTTAAATATTGGTGGGTATGTATTTTTTGTATACATTTGTGTAGTGGGTTCTATTGGACTTGCTGTTGTTCTTTGATATACTTGATTTTCACGTTGATTAAATTGTTGACGCCTTTCAAATTGTTGATGTTGATTACGACTTGCTTCCATAAATTGTTGTCGTCGACTTTGGGGACTTGGTTGCTGAGCATGTTGATTTGAATGTTGTTGCTGATTTGATTGTTGTTGTTGATCATGAATTCCTCTAGAATGGCTTTGTTGTTCCCAGGACTTATGCTCCTGTTGTATACTTTGGTGTCCATGTGCTCTCAGATGGTGAATATGTTGATTAGAAGACTGTTTATTATGTTCACTAGGCTTAACTCTGCTAAATTGTGCTGGACCTTGTTGAGGTTTGGAAGCCGCATTATTGTACACTATTTTACTTTCTGGTATTCCATCATTATCCATATGATTAGAATTGTGACCATTCCTTGAGTGCGTTTCAGCATTTTTGTCCATATTGGACTGCTGATAGTTTCCATTTACATTTACTTCATTGTTAGTTTGAAAATTCTTTGCTACTTTTCCTCTCGAATTTAGTGGTTTAATAACTTTTTCATACAACAAAGGGAACCTTTTCTGCATTTCAATGCTATCGGTGAAAGGTTTATGTGTAAGAATAAATCCTATAGGGATTTTGGTAGTTCCCTTTGATGGCATCATTTGGCCGAGTAGTTTCTCCAAATTACTGCTACCATTTACATTTAATCCTAACGTGTCTTGAATACCAGGATCACTGTACTGAGTGACAGGTTGTTGCGTTGACTCAGTATAGTCAACAGGAAGGTCAGTTGGTGGTAGATAATTAGAGTCCAGAGGAGATATTTGATCATTCCACGAATTGCTTTGCTGACCATTATTTTGCATATGGTTATTTGAGTGGCCCGAGTAATGTGGTTGGTGTTTTGATGTCGTCAGACTAAATGGTTCTGTATTGGAAATTTGATTTGTAGAGTCTATCATGCTTTCATGTGAAGGGCGAGATATTCCAAATCCAGGTCTTGAAGTTGGCGCTTGACCTTGCCCTAGGGAAGGTGAAACCTCTGCATAATGATTTCCACCTGACAACACAGTTTGTCTCGTTGGTGGTTGTGTTGGTTGATATTGAGCAGTGTGTGTTCCGGATAAATCAAATACGTTTCTGGGACCTGATGTGTCCTGATCTGATTTAGAAGAACTGGTTTCTTGAAACATACTATAATTATAGACATGTCGCTCAGTCTGCCCTGGGACTTGTGTATGACTTTGCTCTACATGAGAATGAGAGTTACTATTTTCTGCATGTCTCATATCTGTAAGCTTCTGCTTTTTGTCTCCAATAGAGTTGAACTCTGAGGTATGTTGCTCATTATGCATAGTTTTCTTATCTCTGTGGTTTGTAAAACTGGGACCATTTGCTTGGCGAAATCTGTCGAAACTGTTGTGTGGATCAATATTATGAATTGGATTTTGTCCAGGACTCTTTCCACTTTGCCCATGTCTTTGGAATGTTTCAGTTTTCGGTATATTATTTGTATTTCTTCGGCGAAAACCGTCAAAGCTGTTGTGATGATTATTATTATGAATCGGATATTGATCTGCACTGTTTCTTTTTGGATCATGTCCATGAGAACTTTCAGATTTTTGTATTTCATTAGCATTTCCTCGGCGAAAACTGTCAAAGTTGTTGTGTGGACTAGTATGTTGAATGGGATTTTGTTCAAAACTCCTTCCTTTTGGCTCATGTCTTTGGAGTTTTTCAGAAATCGGTATTTCATTCGTATTTCTTCGGCGAAAACCATCAAAGTTGTTGTTAGGTTTATCATTTTGAATTGGATTATGTTCTGCACTGTTTGTGTTTGGTTCATGTCCTTTAGAACTTTCAAAATTAGGTAAATCATTTGTATTTCTTCGGCGAAAATCGTCGAACTTGCTATGGGGATTAGTATTTTGAATTGGATTATGTTCAGCTCTGTTTCTATTTGAGTCATGTCCATTAGGTATGTTTTTTGTATTTCTTCTGCGAAAACCGTCGAAGTTGTTGTTAGGGTTAATGTTGTCAACTGGATTATGTTCGGCACTATTCCTTTTTAGCCCATTCCCTTGAGAATTTTCAGGCTTTGGTATATCATTTTTATGAGAGTTTAGAAAAGAGTTGAAATTTCTATCATTAGATGAACTAGATGTTGATCCATGCGTTTTTGGCTTCAAGAAAGAATCGAAACTATTATCCGGATTATTCCATCTATCGTTACTAGACCCTGGTAGATTGCTTTGTTTCGATTTTAAAGCATTATCAAAATTACTATTTGTTTTCTCGCTTTGGATCCCTTCGGATCTACTTAATTGTTTTTCCCGAGATGGGTGTTGTTGTATACTATTGAATGATGTCATTTGAGAATTGACTGGGGCATTTGTTGGTTGAAAGTTATCTCTTAGCTGCTGAGAATTGCCAATGGTTGTATCACCTTTCCTAAGGTGCATATCAAACATTCTTCTGGCATTTTCTCGTCGAAAGTCCTGGTTTGATTTAGAATTTTCTTCTTTACGAAATCTAGATACTTCTGGTGCAACATTTGAATTTGCTTCGAAATCATAACTGTTAATGTTATGATTGGAATTTTGAGGAACGTTTGCTGTTTGATGGTGTTGTATTTTACTTTCTTGTTTATTTCCTTTTTTGGTATTTGCCTCAAAATCATACTGATTCACGTTTGCATTTGAAGCACCAATGTTTTCTTTTTGATGCAGTGGTGTATTTTTGTGTGTTTGAACCGTCTGTTCTTGACTATGTGTTTGATGTAATCCGCTGTCGACATTTGATTTACTAGATGAACCAACTTCGAAATCATATGATGCTACCTGAGTCGGTTCTGCCTGCTTAAAGGCTGCTGTCATCTCCTTCTTTCTTCGAAACATGTTGTCCCAGGAAGTTTTCTGCGGAAGAGGGAGATTGTTACTAGGAGCTGGTGGAGGTTGGGGGAATGGAGTGGTGGTAGGGGGATTCGGACTCTGCTGGTTAATGGAAGAACTCTCTTCTGACTGAAGCCAGTCCGGTGCAAACTTTCTTCTCGGTGTCTTTTTCTGGTTTGAATTGCTCTGATCAAACTTCTGATAATTATAACTTGGTTCGGGTGGAAGTGGTTTGACATGCTGGTTTTGAAAGTTATTGCTCTTCTTTGGGGGAAACGGTTGACCACTGTTTGGGAGAGGGTGTGGAGCGTCATTTTTGTTATAAGTTTGCGGTACAGTGTTAGGAGGACTGTTAGTTGGTGGTTGATTTGGAGGGCTATCCCAGTTATAGATGTGACTGTGTTTATCGCTGCCATGTGATGGTCGGTTATAATTGTAATTATAAGGCGGAGTTGTCTCCGGTGGAGTTGCAGTAGTGAAAACGTGATCATCCTCTAAAGTGGTTGTATGAGGTGTAAACCCATCGAATCGTCGCCTGAGATGAGCTCCAGGGGACATCGGACCAAACTGGTTGTTTTGTCCACCATTGGAATTCCAGCTATTTGACTGAGATCCACCCCATGGCGATCCATTTGATTGACCTTGCCATGACGCCTGGGTGTTCGGCTGGTTAGCAGCTGATGGATCGGCATTATTTGAATGACGATTACTATGCTGGGCTCCCACTCTCCTTTTAAAAGACATTGAGTGATTCCAGGGATCTCCCCCACTTCCTCCTTGGTTGTTATTATTATTCGGATTATTCCAACCATTGTTGTTATTATTGCCTTGGTTGGGAGGACCTCTAGACTCGTTGGACCTCCAGGAGCTTCCACCATTGTTAGAGTTTCCATTGTTGACGTTATGGTTTGGATTGCTATTCCAACCATTCTTATTCCACCCTCCACTATCCCAGGGGGAGTTACCATTGTATTCACTCATTTCCGGGGGCTTTATCCCAGGTGGAAGGTTATTGGGTCTTTGATTATTTGGGTCGTTCTCTACAAAAGTTAATGAACTACCTCCTCCCCCATTAGGAGTAGAATGGGATGAATGCTGGTTATTGTTTCGGTTATAGTTATGATTTGGTGTATTATATCTATGTTGGTTGTTATTATGGTTATTTTGATGGTGGTTGTTATTGTTGTGAGGGTTACTGGTGTGTGAATTTCCACTGTTGAAGTCATACTGTGGTGGCGGTCCTTGCCTTGGTGGTCCGTTATTTGGTGGTCCATTGTAGTTGTGGTGGTTATTTGGTGGTCCATTGTTATTGTGGTTGTTATTATTATTATTGTTGTTGTTGTAATGACTGCCCCATCCTCGGTTCACCACGTTCGTAGGTCGGGGGTTATTCCAGTTAACACTTTTGGTGGGGGCTGGAGAGTTCCAGTTATTTCCGGAGTTACTTCCACTCCCAGGGTCATTCCACTGATAACCAGATCCTTGGTTTGATCCGGCAGGTAACGGTTCAACTGTAAAACGACAGAAGAATGTTAAATACTTCATTATCAAAAAATCAACTGTTAATTTATGTATGGAATCTCATATATTTTTGTTTGTAAAAAGAAACACAAGCTTGGCAAATGAGTGTGAATAATTTTTTCACGTTAATTAATAAGCTAATTAAGAATTTTTTATTTTCTTTTTTAAAATATAATTATTTACCGTCATACTGCATTACTTTTGCGATTGACAAAATAAATAGAAGGAACCTCATAATATATGCCTGTATTCAGCACAATAAATATTTCATAAGTTAAGGTGTAAATTTGAGAGATTATGAAAGAATTTATATAAGTATGATTCTTATATAAGAATTATATAAGAATATTTGTATAAGATTTATATAACATTTTAAACAGAAACAATGCACAGAATATTTATTTCAGACATAAAGCAGCGCATACAGAAAGGAAGCAAAATCGTTAATTAGTGCAAAAAATAACATGCAAATACAATACTCAAGTCAGCACTAAATTAGTGTCATAAAATTGCAAAATTATCCAAAACAAGTTAATTGCGGCATGAAGACATTTGTTAAAGCTTAAGATAGCCTTTACAGAACATATTTCATTTTTTAATATGAGGTAATGGAATGATCGTTAATGAAATCTGCTGCTCTGATAAAGTTTACAAAACAATTTTTAATGTTCAATCACACAATTCGTAAGGTATAAAGATATGCTTGTGCAAGAATGCAATGTCTCGAAAATTTGATGAAATATAATAAAAATAATGTCATAAAAGTATAAACTATTGAGAGCAAAACTAAGTGCGCAACATCTTCGTGGAATCTCTTCAACAGTTCACCACCAGGTACAGGCCCAGTGTGTAAACAAGAGATGCTGGAAGTGTTTCATTCTTCAGTGAATTTATAGTTGCCACCAACATCTGAAATGAAAATCGTGAATCTCAAGTGCGCATTGTTGTCTACTCTACGTGCTATGCTTACTGGTTAACGCCTCGCATTTTGTCTTGCAGGCCTCTCCCGTCAAGAAATTATTTTCGTTTCCTTGACAACCACTGTAATAAAATATCTTGCAACTTTCCGTCTCTTCGTCATAATAATAGCGCAGGAGAGTGGCGTGGAAACACGAGCCGGCATCAGGTGGGAACTCGCATATTGATCCCTTTGGTTCTGAAAAGGGCCATAATATTCAAAATGTTACTGTCAATTTCATTGGTCGAGACATGCATAAGACACGCGCAGGGAGACAATTCGTGATGTTTTTGTAAAGGTTCATGATTTCTTACAGAATCTACTTGTTGGAGTAATGGATATATTGTTGTAAGAACATGTTTATATAAAAGAAGCTTTGAATGGTTATGCGATTTTTAGACTATATGAACGTCATTTAAAAAGGATTCTGTATAAAACATATTTGAAAATTCCATTAGATATTTTTTTGAATATGTGGTTCTTGACCATGTTGACTGATAATGAATAAATTATGGGTGCAAAAATGAATTGGTTTTTATACATCTTTTAGTTGGTTATATATTAGGTGGTCATAATATGTTAAAAGAATCCCCTTTAATATGCTGTATATATTGTATCTTAAAATTTTAATAAATATCTAATTGCAATAAAATTGGCATTATGTATATTATCTAAGTCACATACGAAATACTTATTTTTGTAAATTGTTGTCATTTTCCCCATAAATCACTAGCGAAAATGCAGTGCAAAACTTTTCTTATGGAATTTCGTCAACAATGGAGTCTATTTTATGCAATAATGAAAATATATGAGATTTTCGTGTACTTTTTTGATATATCCATGTCTCGGTGTTAAGATTGACGACTTTCTTTATTTATGGAATTCTTGTATTTTTGAAATAAATTTCAAATATAAATTCCTGAATTAAAGGCTTCCTATGAAAATATGACAGTTTTATTCTTACGAATTTCTATCTTTAATGTAAATTAATAGTTTTATGGTTCGATGCAGGAATACACACACGGACGTTTATCATTATCTAAATTTATAAATATCTGTTAGAATTCTTATTCTAATTTTTTTTTCTTACATATGAATCTTAATGAAATAGCACCACCCATTTTTTGAATAGATATTTTAAAGGTACTAAGTGATTTTTAGATGAATTTTAGCGAGATTTAACCAAAAAATTCTTACACAACAGAATTAAATAAAGTTAAGATTTAACAAAGTTAAATGTTTTGCTTGTCAATTTAACACCTTTCTGTATTATTAATTTATGAACTAGATAAATTTAAAGCCCAATGAATTATCTTTTATTCATCGGTTTGAGAAAACATAATTTTTGTATTTAAAATCATATAAACATGTTTAAGTACATCACTGAGTTCTACACATGCGCACTTACCATCCACGCATGCTTTTGCGCATTCGCCGACGGTTTTGAAATTATTTTTATTTCCGCCACAACCTCCATACAAGAACGTCTCGCAGTATTCACTGTCCTCGTTAAATCGGTATCGCAGTTCTAACTTGTTACAGTGCCCTCTGTCCGCAGGATCTTCACAAAATGGCTGCAACTGTCCTACAAATGTACAAGGGTGGTTAACAGAAAAGCATCCTTCACCACGGGAGGTTAATGAAACAGTAACATGCCTTATGTAATCTGATTATCTGATTAAAGAATCATTTGTATTAGAATTTTTTATATAAAAAAACAACAATTAATTTGGTTAAAGTATTTTAAATTCTAATAATTAGGAAGAATTCTGTGTTAAATGTTTAATAGAGCAAAATGTTAAAGCGAAACACATTCAACAAAAAAGTTTTTTTAAAAGAAAAAAATGTAACAAATTATTTCACCACACCGTTTAATAAAAACAACAAAATCATTTCTCTTGGAAGCACAAATATAATATCGAGTCGTTAACATTTTGACGTTGCCAACAAAAAAGCATCAGTGCACCATTAAGTTAATGACATTATGCAAGGTCTCTGCATTTTACATAAATTAAATTCATTAACAAGAGAAACTTAATTATTCTAGTCACGTCTCCACAATTAATAAGTAAAAACAGTGCTCATAAAACGGGAGCAAGACAACAAGAAATTTGACTTGTGTTTTCAATGGACAGTACCACACAAAATATGAATTTACCAAGAAATAAAAAAAGTTATAAACAATAGACTCCCATTAAATAGTATGTCTTGGCCATCTTAACTTTACTTAGGTAGCAGATTGTTTCTTCTTTTATTTCTTATTGGTCCTGATTTTGTATTTCAACTCGGTTCCTAATTTTTATTGTAAAAGCTCTACGTGAAGCAAAACTAGGGTAGATTTGATTGTATTATATATAATTTTAGATATTTTTCCATGGCTGTAATGCATTCAATAAGGATAAAAACATTCAGTGTAACCTTATTGGAGGCCACAGAGGTCACAAAGGTCTTTGACCTTTACAGAAAGTTGATTACATACAGATGTAGTATGTTTATTTCACATATCCATCAAATCTATATTGTCACTGTTTACCTATATCTTCAAAAGCTTTAAAAAGTTCTTTCTGTATTCAGTTGCGAGATTTGAAGTCCTAGATTGGGAATTTGAATTAGAAATCAACATTGTTATATTTACAAAATGAATTCAGAATTGGCATATTGGCCTTCCGCTTTTTTGTATTATTTCCTAAATTTGTTCAGCAATAACAGATTTGCCCTTGCATAAATTAATAGGTAATGTATAAAGGAATAAAGAAGTACACTGAGCATTGTTTCATTTTAATACAATGAAGAAGGTTATAAGTGCACACAGATAGAAAATCTGCTAAAAGCTTATTGAGGTTGGATGACGAACATACCATATCTATTTAACGACAAAATATGGTATGTCCTTAATTTTATATCAATACATAATGCAAAGCACGATTTTGTGGTTTTTAAAAGGAATCTAATGAAGAGAAAGTCATTTTGCACTAGATTATTATCTGCATGTTTTGCAGACATTTTGATATATCATTTTGATGAAATGTAAAGGAAAAATATTTTGCATTTCTTTTAAAATTCTACACAACAAAGCGAGTATAAATTTATAAATTTATTACGTTTTCTTATAAACTTTAGTTTGTATTTCTATTTGTTTAACGTCACTTTCGATTTTTTTTTTTCACTTAAATTATAAATGTTTGACCTATACTTGGTACTCCTTATGGCCCTGAGCATGCACTGCTGGACCTTTTTCTTGTCCGCACGTACTTTGACAAGGGACCTTATTTTATGCGGTGTATCAGAAGGACCGGTCTTCTCGTCCCGCAGTGGAATTCGAACCTTCGATCTTTAGATCAACCTCTCACTACACACTTTTAGAGCAAACGCTTTATTTACTGCGCCTAGAAGACAATTTCATGGAATACTATCTAAATGATCAGATTTAAGTCTGTATTTGACTACTGCTTCAGTTCATTTTGGTAGTCCGCTTGGCGCAGTGGATAGAGCGTCTGCTCTAGAGTCCCGAAGTAAGCAGTCGATCCTTACATCGCGGGTTTGAATCTGATGGTGGGAAGTAGAAACCAGTCCTTCGAATGACACCGTATAAACCGAGGTCCCGTGTTTCAGTACCTGGGTAGATGCTTGCACGAAAAAGACCCCTCACTGCTCAATGGCCCAAAGTTCCGAGTAAAGGAGAAAATTTGCAGATCTCCAATGGCAAGTGGTGGCGTCTCCATATGAGTGAAAAATTCTGGAGAAGGACATTAAACAGTGTACAATCGATCAATCTGTGCATTTTGACTAGATACAAAGTCTTGAATGTACAACCATCCGTATTTGTTTTTTTTTAAATGAAAGACCCGCCCGTAAATTAACAATGGAACTACAACCGGTGGTAAAGGATAACATGCATATCATTTATTTGTAATGCTCGTATAAAATGTACTGAACGTACTGAAATTTAATTTGAAATATATTATGTTTATTGCAGCAGATGAACACCTTATGACAACTGTTTTCTACTTTTTATAACCTCTATTGAAATATAATGTCTACAGGAAACGTATATATGAATTTTTAAACTCATAAAAAATCTCTTTGCAATTTAAAATCGGAGTAACTGTAGCTATCACTGCTTCAGATTTCCTCAGTAGCCTAGCTTGGTGACAACCTCATGTTGAAACGATGTAAATTAAACATGTGCATTACCTGTGTAAATCGCCCATCTTTACTTGTTAAATGCATGACTTTTAACATGGAACCATTAATCAGTTCTCTGAATTAAATGTTTTGCAAACTCGAAAATCTAAGAGGAAACTTATTTGACTGTCAGAGATGTCATTTTGTTTTATATTTATGGGATGTTGGTTTTATGTAATCAAAATATGTACATGCATTGGTTGATAAGGAGAATAAAACAGATTTCATCCTCTGAAGGAAGTGCAGAGAACTTATGAATATATTTCATTATAAATTTAAAATGTTTAACAAATTTGCTGTTCCTTAATATAATGGTAAACTTAATGAAAAGTAATATCGACCTTTATGAATAGAACACACAAAAAAAAAACTCAAATTGTATGTTTGAATTTTTCATTAGATAGAAGGTAATACTATTTATAATATGATAGTTCCTAGAAATAGGTGAACTCATTAGGAGCGACCTATATTTGGTAAACCTTCAATTACTCGTTTTGTACGAAATAAAATAAAAATAGGGAAAAGTTTTAATGTCAAACGATATGCCATTCTGTGGAATGTCACACCCTTTCGGAAAATTAATGTTTTCTTTATTAGAAATGGATTTAAGCAAAAGACTTTATCCATCGTATATTGAACCAGAGAAACGTAAAATATTCGGTATATAGCTTCGATTCATCGATCATTTTCTTATGAATTTTTCTGCCCTCAATCTTATTTCCAGTTGAATTCTATCGTAACTTGTACCAAAATGAGGTATTTAATTAGTTAACAACAAATTTAAAGTAGAATTTTCAGATGTAGACAATTAATTTATCTTATTATTTCAATTCAAAGTGTGTTACTGTCAAAAATGAAACGTTTTAAGGATTAAAATACACCTTGCGATATGTCATTTATTTTTACTTCTAATTCCTGGACGAAACCATCTTTCAATCATATGTATTCCTAATGTACATTGTAACAATATGTATATGATGGATATAGTGTGAGAGAGAGAGAGAGTTTTATGAATGTGGATAAAAAGATGTCGTATTCTATCATTTTGATTACAACGTTGAAAGATTATTTAATCAAAGACGTCATTGGGATGAATTTATTATCTTTAATACATATAGATTATGCTTATTAAGTGTGTGATCGAATGATATTGATTGATTAGCACTCTTAATTTAATTATTCAATCTGTTATGACCTCTGCAAATTTTACACCGTGTATCGTTTTGTTCCTTAGCAAGTCAGCTATGTGTAAGAAAAGGGGTGAGAACTCGTGACAGGTGGTTAGACCACGACGTACCGTATTATTTGATGCCAGAACATCCTCTGACATCTGATCAATTACAATTCTGATTATTAAAGATAGGTTTTTGTCACGCTTGTTACAACCTGTTTTTTTTTCGTTTAAAACTCAATTATGATAAAAGAAATGTGAATACAAAAGGAGATAAGCAATTCAATGAAAGATATTGGGTCCTTTTTAAGTTTCTTTAAAACTTTTTTGGAGTGACCGGTGAAACGGGCACCTGATCTTTTCTCTTGTGTTTATGCCGTATATGATTTATATTATTTATAAAACTTTATTTTGAAATCCATTATTGTTCGTTACCTTCTCCCTTTTTTTCATCTACATTAATTTTTATCCTGAATTTGAATGTCTCTGAAATTTTGCACTTAATTGTATAGGGATTGTTATGACAAAGAGGTGTGTAACCAGTCAACATGGGATGTTTACTGTTTTATTGCACCTGATTCCATATCAAAATTTGTGTGTTTCACGGTCATTTGAGCTTAATTCCCTGTTCGTTATCTTTGCATTATATTTGAAATATTTTGTCGATGAGGTACAACCATTTAATGTATATACAGGTGATGTTTCATTCTTAAAAATAAAAGTGCATTTCTACTTACCAATTGCATAACTTATCTGAAATAAATAAAAAATGAATATATTTCATTTTGTTTCAATGGCAAATTCAAAAGCATACGTTTCTTCTACACACCAAAAATCATAAGGCAGGATTTAAATTGACCATTGATGAACTGAGAATTTTATTTTCCTTTTCTGGTACATAACATAAACTAAACCTTAATGATATGGAGGATTATTACGACAAGAATGCAAAGATCTATTTCAATCGTTATTTTCAAATAAAAACTTGAAGAAGAACTTGAAGCCAGAAATGATTTCCATGCATTTACTCATCTCTTATGAATGCTGAGAAATCTTAGAGGTATTGTCAGTACTTTAAAAAGTAATTAAGATCCATTAAGACATCAACGAAGTTTATGTAATTATAAAGGACCACCTAAAACATATATTTCTTTCATTATCATATCAATAAAGACCTTATGGTGTCATTATGATATTAGAGGTTTACATAAGTTATGCATTTAAACATAAGGTTAAAATAAAGGTTAATCAAGTCACCCACAAATTAGTTTGAGTCAATTTTGGAACATTTTTCTTGACATTTTCCGAATTATCCAAAGAAGATTTATTGTTTCAAGACAATATTTAATGTTTCAGAATAAAATTCAATGCATCCAAATAAAATTCAATATATCAAAAAACAATTTTACAGCCCTTAATGATTTCATAATCACACTAAAATGCACAATAGACCACGCATTAACTCAAGAAATTCCTACCGTGTAAAAATATTATTTTTGTAAAACTCTTTTTGAAGAATGACAAGCTTTCAAGTGAATACAAATTTAAATTCTTCCTAGACATAATGAGGATTGGGTTATTTCGTTTCCACCCATTTTTCACCGTCTATAGAGGAAGGGCAAAATTTACATCTAAAGATAAATTTAAACCATGAAAGAAACGAAGGAAAAAGTGTTTTTTCTTTTCTAAATATAACTTTTTTGTCAACATTAACTTCTTCCACACATCACGTCCTGTCATCTGTCCTTCAATGTGATTAAAATACAGTGCTATATGTATATGCAAAATACTTTATAAAAGGAAGACCATGGATATTATACTCGATGGAAGATGTACAATTTTTATCCCTTTCATTTTCAGACCAATAGGGCATGATGACGATATTAAAAAGACTCGCAAAGTTTATACAAGTGATGCTTATAAAGGACTGTTGTATTTGTCATTTGCATAAATTTCATTTATTAGAAATCTGCAGCAGGTAAAAGACATTAAACGTTCTCATAGTACATGCAAATTGTAATGAATTGACAATTGAGAAACGGAACAAGTTACTTGAAACTTTATCACGAATGGAGTCAGGAATATCTCTATCAAAGGAAAGTTTTATACAATTCCACCATTTACTAAATTAGGAAAATTTATAATACTATTGAAAAATATCCTTGTATATTTCTTTTATTGTTTGTTTCGCCTTTGTCATTTAACATTATACCACAAGATTAACCATGTTCGTAAGCAATGTAAAACCAGGTACAAGTGAAAGTAATTACTTTCTTCAGATAAATGTAGTCATATAGAAGTTTGTCCACATAACTATTAAATAAACATACTTGAACCATAAATAAACCGTATGGAGATTTTCTGACTTTTCTTTCATCGTTGTATTATAGTTTAAAGTTAACCAACATCATATTTTGCAGTGAAAGAAAAATAACCAAGAAGCTGCGGTCTTGGTCCTTGGCATGACAAATAGACTCGGTTAACCCTGAACAGGAATAGAAACATTTTCTGGAAGAGCAATAACCAGGCTTTGTCAGCTAGGGTGTTCAACAGCCGTTTAATGTAGAAAACGAGTCAAAATGTAGAACATGTATCAAGTAATCAAAAAATGTTTTAATATAAGGATGCATGCCTCAGAACATTTACTGTAAAATCACATATTTTCAAGGGGTCACGTTTTCGTGGTTTGAGAAAAATATATTGGATCATGGGAATTTGATTTCATGGTTGAAGAATTGATCAGTAGTAATAATTATCTGTGAAAAACTGCATAAACTCCCATGAGAATGTGATTTCACAGTATACATTCATGGTTATGCACATAATTTTTTATCTCTTAATTTCCTTTTTCCTATTCAATACATAGGGTTCACAGTCGGTGTGACCGGTCAACTTGGAAAGCTTTCTCCTTCTGGGCCACTGATCCTACATCTGAAATCTCTGTGTTTTATGCCCTTTTCACAGATTATTATTTAAAGATTGGTTTTAGATCGATCACAAATTGTTTTCTTCACCTTTGCATTGCAATGACTTGATTGCATAAAGCTAACAACCTCTAAATCTGTACAAATGTATTTAGTAGCTTACCTGGAAGATTACGCAAGCTACAGTGGTGATGACTCTCCCCATCTCTTCCTTACTTCTATTGCTTTACTCTGAAAAGAAGAGAAAGTTTCACTTTGAATGACTGTATTTAGCATTAAACTTTCAATCTAGTCCCAGGGCCTAGGCATTTATTTTTGATCACCATTTAATAATCTAAGATGGTTTTTAAACTTAACAATCCATTATAATATTTTTGTCAAACATATAATGCTAATTTGCATACTTTTTCAAACCTTAAAAAAAAGAGTCTTGCAATGTGAAGGTCATTTAATATCTCATGCCAAAATGGCATAGTTTCTTTACCTTGCAGCTAAATTTTAAAATGCAGACAATTAACATCTTACATGTACGTGATGGCATGTTCCAAACACATACGAATATAGTATAATACTATAGCATTATAATTACAAGTAAAACATACAGGAAAACCCGTGTTTAAGTGGACTGAGTCTTATTTATTGCACCAAATAAAAGAGAATTAGGGAAACAGGGGGAGGCAGAATATTTACATTGTATGTACTTTAATGCAAAACGAAAAAAAAAATAACTTCCGTTTCTGCAAAATTTCAAAGACAAAAAAAATGAAGGAACAAATTACCTCTTAACTCCAAGACAGGAAAAATAATTAAGACCCACTCAAATCTACATGTAAACACTAGCGGAATCCATCCTTATAAGGAACGTGTTCCTATTTAGCAGATTAATGTCTAGTTTTTGACGTGGAAATTTATCAAGCCTGTCTGACGATTCCTAACTTTGGCAACGAAAATGGGCGTCGGCGAAACTCGTGTTCGAGTATAATTCTAATTTCCATTCACAGGGAAATAAAGTAACATTACAGACAAGCACGATGAAAACTTTTCACTGAATCTTTCACTTCCTGGTATAAGAATAAGACTGGACGGATTAAAATCAAATGCACTGTCTCAAAGAATATCAAGCAGAAGAACAAAAATCACAATATTGCAATCTTTGGATAGTAATATTTTTGGCAAATAAAAGTGATTTGAAAGATGGATTTCGATTTGTATTTTGTAGGTAAATGTAATGCAACGACGTCAAAATATCCCTTAATGGTAATTATTAGATTTCACTTTTACATTTTACGTATCCACAACCATTCAACACAGTCCACATGAAGAATCCAAAAAGGGGAAGTTGTCCTTTGAAATAATGACAGGGAATTCCAATATATTTATATAAAAATGAGTTCTTCTGACCGAAGCAACCAAAACTTCTTAAACAAATGATATGGATGGATTCTGCGTGGTGTTTCACTAGATTTATCAATCACGTACAACTCCCGGCCCTTTTTATAATCTGTAAATTTTAATTAGCTCTTCTCGTTAAGCTAATTGTGATACAACTGGCGGGAACTGCACTCATTTGTCTCTCGTCACAGAGTCGTCAGTTATAGTTTATTTCTGCTAGGATATTTAGAAGGCGGAGGTGATATATGAATTTATTTATAGTGTGATTTATTGAAATAAATTTTTCGTCATCTACCACGCTCGAATGATTTTTCGTTAATTTTTCACTTGTATATATACTATTTATTTGGATTTGAGGAGGAAAATTATTAAACATGTCAAGTTCATTATAATTTTACACGTAAACAGGACAGGAATTAATTGGAATGACACATTATGAAAAGTATAGTATATCAAATAATTTATTTACATATACAACTTTATAAGCTTTTAAAGGTAAATGATAAACTCCTCTTATACCACTGACTGAAATTTAATGAGATTTTCACAGAATTTGCTACAAAGTGCTATTGGGCACCTCCTATTTTACTTTTTTGATAGGATACATAATTAGGGTTTCTTATGCCAAAACTTGGATACGGACATTTCTTTTTATAATATTGAAGGATATCCATCTCTTATTCGCAACTCCCCTTATACCACTGAATTAATTTCAATCTAATGATACTTTCACAGATTCTTAACTACATTATATCATTGTGCATCTCCAATTATACGTTTTGATCTGCAACTTGTTCTTCCAATGCAAAACATTGACTTTGTCATTATAATCATGTAAGAGGTGGAGGTATCCTTTGGTGGGCTCCGTGCTCACAGTACCTTTAATTTCTAATTTTTTGATGATTGTAATAAAGAATTGTGGAAAAAGTAGAAAATATCTTTACCATTTACGTCTTTCTCTACTAGAATATCTATCTAAACATGAAAATGATTTGTAGGATACCGTTCTCTGAAATAAATCGAGTCGTAGTTTGAATGGAAGTACGAGGGGCATTTCCAAAGTTCTGGCAACTGTTTAATAAAAGATAAACCGCTTTACGGAAATTATTGAGTTTGATATCATTGGAAAGATAAGAAAAATATATACATATTGTGACGTCACTTTGTAAATTTCATGACGCAATAACTCTGAAAATGACGTCAGAATAAAGAATGTTTAGCATACTGAACATAAAAATGACGTAACAAAAGACACAACTTGATCAAATTAAAATTTTCAAGACAACTTTTGCTCATTACTCGGACGCAAGCTAACGGATGTAAATGCCAGTTGGTGGAATGTTTACATAGACTACAGTCTGTCATGTGGTATTTTATTTTGGAGATCTTCTTGTTCTGAAATGGTTTTAGCGAGTGTCAAACTTAGCATGATTTTATCGAATCTCGCTCAAACTTCTGCGTAACAGAGACCTAAATGTGAGAAAAAGACAAAGTTGACAATCAAAGAAAAATAGGCAATCGTGTTACAAAATTTGATGGCATAAATTCGTCAGATGTTTTAACCAGATTTGTGGGATCGATGAAGGCTCAAGAGAAGTTAAGTTTAGTGTGCCCCATATTTTCTCGTAAAATCCAAAATGGCGGCAGCGCAGTTGTAACCCCACCGTACCTCCACATATCCGCAAATTTTAATGCATGGAAAATAAATAAGACTTTACATGTCTGAGTAACTTATATTCATTATTTGGATTCAAAAGGCAAAAGCAGTAGTGAGTTTTGGGGCGCCGAAGTTGAATTAATATGAAAAAATACGCACAGAATCCAGTCGGGGACAAGATTTAGTACATTTTGTTCGTAAACGGTAAGAGTCCTGTTACTCAAAATATATTTGATGAAAACTGCATCAATATACTTCAGTTTAATACAGAACATGCTTTATTCCAAACAATGGAGAGCTATATAAAAGACCGAAAAGCCAGCCGTATCATGTAAATAAAAGTCTTAAATGAATGTCTATGATAGCATAACCGGACATAAACCGTTCTCGTAAACAAACCATACAATGAATAATAGAATTGCTGATAAACAGTATCATAGTCCTACTCTACCTCTTTTCAAATTAAAATTTTCTTTGAAATATTTTTTTAAATAAGCCTTTGACAGAACTTTTACAATCGTCTCATGTGGATAAAAACTTGACTTTTCAGTATGCTGAACATTCTATATTCTGACGTCATTTTTGGAGTTATTACGTCATAAAAATTATAGTGACGTCACAATATGTGTATATTTTTCTGATCTTTCCAATGATGTCAAACTCAATAGTTTCCGTAAAACGGTTAATTTTTTATTAAACAGTTCCCAGTACTTTTAAAATGCCCCTCGTAAGTAACTATTATGAGTTGATTATCCGTTGGCGATGAATCTAAATGTCAAGTTGAAGGCCACAACAAGTATTTTTCTCTTTCTAATGCAGATTTTTTTTGCTTGTTTTACGTTTCTTCCATAATTTAGTATTCTCTCAAAAACCCTGGATATCCAGAAATATCCAGAAAAATTGGACAGGGATAAATATAGTTCGCTTTGAAAATTTCTTAACTATTTGTTTTCTAGCTTTCTTAAAATAACAAATAGCCTTTTGTTCTAGAACAGCTATTTTCTATTGCAATTCTGTTGGTATTTGGAAATCTTATATGAAATTTAACTAAAACTGTTTCAACTTCATTCTGTACACAAGAAAAGTGCCAGTTAGAGGAAAACAGTTTCAAAAACAGTAAAGTTCTGACCTAATTCAAAATACTCATTGAAAGATAAGAAATAGAATGGTTTCAAATTAGCAAAAAAGAAAGGGAAAAAAAATTATACCAAAAAATGAGCCAAAGTGCAGACAATGAATACTTTGTGAGTATAGAAACAATGTTTCCCCTTGTTAATGGTTGAAGAATTTATTACATCAATAGAATATTTAAATCCAAGTATCTTCGAACGACACACACGCGCATGTATAATTTTCTGCTAATTGAAAATCAAAACACAACTTAATTGTTTTGAAAGAGTCTGTCAAACACCGGTAGTGTAGCTGTCAATAATTCAGTTTATTTTCACATTATACGCATAAATTTCTAAAGAAGGAAGATTGACATAACGTGTCAAACTTGTTTTTGTGTGGGTTTTTTTTGGTTCATCAGGGAAGAATAAACGGGAAAAATGAAACATTTTGAGATAACGAACAGTATTCAAGATCAAAAGTTCATAAAACAATACAAAACAGGAGCAGGGCAAAACACGGACCTCCAAAACATAAGAGATGGATCGGGTGCCATGAAGGAATAAGCACCCCCTGCCAAGCGTCCACACCCGCCGTGAAAGAAGACAAAATTGGGCTTAAATTTGACTTGAATTTTGCAAATATACTTGTATTCTTTCTGTTATCACACACGTTGCTAAAATGTACCTACCTTTCAATCGCTACAAAGATTATGACGGGAAAAACAATACTAACTAGTGCTAATTGTAACGGGGACCGTTACAGATGTTCCCCAAACGCTCCCCAACTCCCTTTTGGTGCCATATCCCCTGTAAGCCTCATTAAATAAGATAAACTCTATGCATTTGAGACTTTAACAACATTTACCCAGAAGTGTACCAAGTTCACTTAAATTTTACCATTGCACGCGTGTGCATGTGAATGCATCTGTGTAATGACCATATCATCTTGTCTACACAATCTATACATATAAATATACTAAATATTAAAGTATTTAATCCAAAAGTATTAAAAAATACGCTTATTCAAGTGTCTATTTGATTTTACTCATTTCACGTGCACGCACGTGCATACATGAGCATGGTGACCATACCTTCTTGTAGAAGTCCATTACATCTATCTATGTTCTAAATCCCATCCCGTTTGGTTGAAAACCAAGAGAGTTATAGCTGTTTAAAGTTTCAGCCAATCAGATTGCAACGCACGTACACGCACGTGTATGCATTTGCATGGTGACCATACTTTCTTGAAGAAGTCCATTATATCTATCTAAGTTCCAAATCCCATCCTGTTTGGTTGAAAACCAAGGGAGTTATAGCTATTTAAAGTTTAAGCCAATCAGATTGCAGCGCACGTGCATGCACGTGTTTTGATGATAATTGCTATATATCATGTTGTAGGATATCCTAATGCATGGTTATGTTCAAAATTTCAAAGGATTTCGTCAAAAAACAAGAAAGATATTGAGACTTTAGTTTCAGCCAATCAGAGCGAAGCGCACGTGCATGCGCGTGAGATCTTGCTATTTTGACCATGTCATAATGTCTATGCTACTAATATATCCTTATATTATGAGTTTCAAAGCATTTCATCAAAAACATAAAAAGTTACGCCTATATCAATTAAATCGGTCATTTCACACGTTGCACGTGCACGCTCTTGCAAGCACGTGCACGCAAAATGACCTTCGTTCCGCAAATCTACATAACATGCCTACTGACCCTAAAAAGGTTTTACCTAAGTTGGATGTGTAGTTTACAAGATCACTCCTGGACAAAAAAGTACACAGGAAGAAGAAGAAGAAGAAGAAGAAGAAGAAGAAAAATAATAATAACTAGTGCTAATTGTAACGGGAACCGTTACAGATGTTCC